TTCTTGTTTCTGAAGCTGGTCTATCAGAAGCTTCTCCTGTTCCTGCAGATGAGCCATCTCCTCATGGCAACTATCTAATGCCTACACACACCCAAACACAACTGTATTGTTATATTTGTGAGGACTTCATTCATATTCCCTCATTCCATGATAAAATATACAAAGTCACATCACATTTTGGTGCTCACAGGTGAACAGTTAAGAGAAAAGTCAGACAAAGACTAAGAACTCACACCTTCTTTAGTTAACTGCCCCTAGTGCTGTTAAATCAGTGTGAAATTTAAATAGAAGCTGAGTTTAAACATGAGCAAGCGTGAGAAATACCATTTCTTTCATTACTTTTGCTGGAATTAGTCCCGTAACTTTGGGAAGACTCTAATATCCCTTTCAAAATAAAGTGAAAACCTACTTAACTAAAACATCAACCCTATACTGTACATGCAGATATATAATCAGTGACAACTATCATACATTTAGGTAGAGAATGACAACACATTCCAGCATGTGAAAAACTACAAATGAGCAGAGAAGAGAAATCAAAATGATTTGCCTTACTATTTAAATTCAAATTATTCACTATTCCAAAATGGTGAAGTTAACTTAACTTCTTTGCCCAGTACTTACACAGTGAGACTGAAAGCATGCTGTGATGAACATCAGTCCAGTGAGCAGCTGCAGTAGGCCTCCCATCTTTTCTCTGTTTAAATAGCACAGCAGTAATATAACAGAAGTCCAGAAAAGCAGACTTCTACTCCTATGTGTTCAGTTGTATCAGTTTGATTTTTGCCCAGCAGCATGTTAGATTTTCCCCACACCTGGGGCAGAGCAAAGCTGTGGCCAAGGAGAATCAGAAACTGATGAAATACCTGATTCTTTGCGGTCATAAATTAAACAAAATATGCAAGGAGTGTCTATGACAGACACGCATGTGCTGATACCATCCATACTTTTGAGAAAACCTTCTTTTTTTTGTCTTATAATCAAATAGGATAGAAAAGCATACAGAATATACAAAGTGTTACTTTGTATGGTTAACAGAAGTTAATGTGAGACAAACATAGTCTTGTACAAACATATGAATTTGATCTGAGGAGACAATGCCAAACCTTTCTACTTTTGTTCTGCCATCTGTCTTGACCTCTCTTTTGTCCTCCACTTGCCAGCTCTTTGATTTTCCCATATCTGAATGCCCTTGAGCTGGTATTCTCTTTGAGTGTCATGAAATTGCTTGAGTAGTCATTTTGTTGATGAGCAATATTGTACCATTTTAAATAAATGTTGCAAATAACTAAATGCCACAGAAGGTCAGCTCAAGCACAGAAGGACACAGAGCAGAAGGAGATATCCCTAAGGGTTACAAAGGAACTTCAGTGAATGATGTGGCTGTTACTGATTGTTCAAAATAAGAAAGATATGTCTGTGTAGGAAAGATAAACAAATGTAATACCTAAGTGGATGCAGTGTTAGTTACTAAAGCTGTAGGTTTTATGTGATATGTATGGCACTTGGTTGATTAGAAGTCTCACACAGTTGATATATGCTTTCGTTAATTTTCCCATTTTATACCAAGGGTTGGGTGAGAAGATTAACACCCTTATTATGTCTATACCATGGATCTAACAGATGCTTGGTCTTTACATGCAAGTATTTACTGTAGCTACAGCCAATAGCAAGGTAGCTCAGTATACCACAAAAACACACTTTTTGTGGTTCCCTGGGTGTTGTAGGTATTTCTGATCTGGTGAAGACCAAAATGAATTTAATTAGAAACTTTTAAAGCAGGGGACTGGGGGCTGGTTTTGGCTTTTGTGTAATCTCTTTAAAAGAATAATGTCACATTTTGAGAAATTCCCTTTCTGTTTTCTTATTAAGTTAGATGAGATGACCGACACTGCTCTCAGATTTGAACCCTCAGTACATTGCTGCAGCCAGCAGTAGTTTATCTTAGCTTAGCATAGAAATATGACTCAAGAATTCCTATGCTCCTTGCCAAGACATAATTCTTCACATAATAAACTATAAATACACAATTTGTTTTGATTACACCCAAGGTTCTGTACAGTTTAAATAAATAATGTATAACACATTGTAAAGGCTGTTTCTGTTTTAGCTAAGCTAAGCTAAGCTAACCAAGCGCATGACTGTACCTTCATATTTATGTACAAACACAAGAGTTGTATCAGCATTCTCATCCAACTCTAGGCAAGAAAGTGAATATGTGTATTTCACATTACTACAGAACAAATCCTTTGACAAAATATCAAAACAATCCTTGGGTTTAAAAGGAAATCGAGATGTGTCCTTTTACTTTTGTCAGATTAACACTGAAATCAGTTACAATGAATAAAGACAAGAATCTAGCAAATCCTACTTACAGTCAGTATATCTAACCTACTGTATATGTGGATACCTCCATCAGATCCTTAACCTAATAATGAGAAAAGAAATTTATTTATGTCAATGTGATCTTATTGTTGTGTGTGTGTGTGTGTGTGAACATTTAGAAATATTTTCCTTTAGCCTTATAAACCATTGATTACACCAGTACTTTTAGCCATTCCTTGGCTTTGGTGTATTATATACTGTGTTGTTTTATCCAGTCACTAATACAGTTGACAAAAGATGTGATTGCTTAACATTCTCTTGCAAGTTGGCCTCTGCTCCTGAAGTTGTTGCACTGATCAGTGATTCTAAACACACAAACAAAAACATACAAATTCAGCAAAACAACAAATAAAGGTCACTAATTTAAGATATTACATTTCAAAGCACGCCCAAAATAATAAATACCATAGTGCAATGTAGTTGTACAACATACAATATAAAAAATGTTAAATAACAAATTATCTAAACAAAACAATTAAAGGTCATGGCCGTATATGACTCAATGTATGTGGAATGAATAATAATTATAGGAGGAAAGGAAAGATATAACAATTTGTTACTATGTATGAGGAGGAAAGTGGGCAACAGGTCACGAGTGGATTAGAGTTGAGGAGCTGTGCGGCCTTAGAGACAAAGGTTGCCCTCCTTGGTCTCCAGAGGGGAGCCACTCAGATGCAGGGAACAGGACACAATAATTAAAGAACTGGTGCTGCAAGATATTTTAGCTACAAATGCTAAAACACTTTACCCTGTAAAAGAATTCCAGCTCTAACTGTGCTTGGATTCTGTTTTCTTGCCAGATAGCACAGTGCCAGAGCAGCCATCAAAATGTTGATAGGTTATTTTAAAAATGAGCTACCCTTTTTTAACCTGTTCCCTTCAGTCATACATAGTGAGTACTATTACCGTAGGATCAAAAATAATATTTACAATAATAGATGCCATCTGTACCATTATGTAAATTAGATTTCATATGATGGATGTCACTCCCATCCTCTCTGTGTGGTTATCACCTCCACATTGTATATTGAATCTCACCTTCATGACATGAGCGTCTCTTCTCCTTGTTACAGCTGTGTCAGCCTTTCCTAAACAGAAGAGAAAATAGAAGATAAGAGTTTTGTCAGTTTGGTCAAACAAATAGTGACTCATACCTGAATACTGAAACCACCACTGTCATTACCTGCTATTACTACTACCACCCCACAACTATTTATGTTGCTCTTCTAATACTGCAACTTGTAATAATACAAAAACAAAACATTACCTTTGATATCCACTGGTTTTGTCAGCTGTGAGGACTGTGGTTCATCTGGTTGAGCATCATCAGACTTCTTGTAGTAGTACTGTTGATCAGGGGGCCCAAACCTCTATATGCAAACACCGTCACAGAGAAATACACACACACACACACACACACACACACACACATACCATGCAGTTAGCCCTCTTGTACTGTAGCTGCCTGCTTGGTTAGATTGAACCATACTGACACATTGTGCCTGTTATAGTCCTAGTCCCAGACAATGACACACACAGACATAAAGAAGACTACTGCACCTTGTCAGGCCACATGAAGCTTATGAAGAGAATGATAGGAAGTCCAACAGTGAAGACGTAGACACTCCAGAGCCAGGGGTGCTGATGGGTGGCCAATAGCAGGCTCTCTATGATACCCCGCTGGAATACATATACACTTGATGTATAGAATTACATACCATAAAAACTACAGGAAGTATGCACATAGGTATTTAAATACATTTATATATCTGAGCATTAGGTGGGTATATGAATTTTGCTGCTGCATGGAGACTGAAGACGCAATTGCTGCTGCTTGGGGAAGCATAGTTTTTGCCAACACCGCTATTTATTTGTCTGTAGAATATATTTTAGTACTACTGATACGTTTCAGAAACATAAAGCTAAAAAAAAAAAATCAAACCTTTAAAAAGTATGATCTATTTGTTTGGATAACACCCTCTCCCCAATGTGTGTATGTTGAGTTTTGCATTAGTATTTTTTTCATCTATGTGTACATGTGTTGCCGCCAGTGACGTTTTTAAAAGGGGTTGCTAACAGTGATTAAAAGATTACATTTGTTAAAAATCCAGTGAAACCAATTCTTACCTGTGCTGCAGCAGATGCTGGAGCCACAGTAGCTAACAGCATCACACACAGCAACGCATAGCTGGTCTCCAAAACACTCTTTCACACGCACATACACAAAATGCCCACAGACACACATTAACAGTCAATACACTGTACACATGCACACACAGAAAACACAGTTGAGTAAGACCCCAGATAAGAACATGATCAAAGATCCTGAATGAGACGTGATGAAAGAGACGCAATGTTTTCTGTTGTAATCGATATTTATAGATTTATCATACCACAATCAGGTTATGGTGGTGAGATGAAGAAAGGGACAAAGAGGAAGACGAAACCAGACAGTGTTCTATGAAAGGCAAATAAAATCAGATGTAAGCAAAGAAACATGCAAAGAGGACAGCGGGAAGCAGAGCAGAACAAAAGAGAATACCACAAAAGAAATAGAAACAAATACAGACCAGTGGATTTCTACCTTTCTAACACGGTGCTTTCTCACAGTTTCCACGAGTTTCTTACTTCCTGATAATCGACAGTTGTCTGCTGGACTTTGGCCCGAAACCACTTGCTGACATGTTCCAGAGCATGAAGACAGCACATTAGAGGGGTTTGACATAGTTAATAATAACTTTCATACACAAACACATTCACACAGCCAATCAAACATTAGCTATACAGTCATACTGAAGGTATATCATATATCATGCTCGCAATAGTGGTCATTGTTAGGGTTAACACAATATTTACTTTAAGCTGATGAAGTAGAGTTTTTGAAGTTTGACAAAAAGCAAAAAGCATTTTAAAAACACAGTGTAAAACAGAAACAGATGGGTTTTTTAAAAAAAAGTTTTTTTATTATCTCCATAATCATTGCTTGTGTTATTTCATTTGCTTTTATTAAGGCTATAGCCTGAGAAAAGTTACAAATGACCTCTGTATAAAAACTAAACCTGCACCAGAAAATGGGCAGGAGTTTGACATTCCTATACATTAAACTAATTCTTTCATCAAAAACCTTTAGCGGTGTAACAGTATGAAGGACGTCAAGATTATGAGGGTGTATATGAGTTTTATTCCCATGGATTTGACAGAAATATTTATCAAATAGCTTGAGGTGTTCCTATACATAAATATAACAATCCACTGGGCTTTGTTGTGGAGTACAACATGGTCTAATGCATCTGGAACACACTTTCACACCTAATAGCAGATGGGCAGCATTCATAGAAATGCTCTGCCCCCTAGCGGATAAGTCCATAGGTGAGGACACTTGCTCAAACGCAAGTGAGATGGACAGTTTCCTGACCTAATACTGTTTCCATAGTAGTGTGATGTTTAACATCTGTGTAAACCTTTATGTGCAGTCTAAGTAATAATCTTTTTTTTTATTTGTAGTATTGACTGTCTTAATGTGTTTTAATTTTGTTTTATTTTTGTTGCAACTATGCAAGTTTAAGTTGCAATGTTAAACTGTATTCTCCACATCAAAAGTGTTTTACACATAAAGTTTAGTTAAAGTTAGTATTATAATGAATTCAACTTACACCTCTAGGTTGTTATTTTCCTTTAAAAACAGTTTCAAGAAAACTTTTTAAAAAGACAGATATTAAAGGTGGGGTTGGTGGTTCTTTTCAGAATCACCTTTTGTTACATATTTTTCCATCCTGATGGTAAGGAATATGTTAAATGCACTGAAAACATTAAAAAAAACTAATCAGTCATCTGTGGCGCAGCAGGGCTGAAAAAAGCTTGACCAATAATTTTACTCGGCAAGAGCAAAACCATTGGCTGGCCTACCTGCCTGTCAGCCAACCTGCTACTTGCATGCACTCTGCCCTTGCACAAGCCAAAAATCTCCCACAAAGCCAGACAGATGTGTTACTGCTCTGTTTTGCTAGCTAAAGCTAGCGAACTATGGCAGAGAAGGTACCCACAGTGGCTTCCATTCGCAACTGGACACTGTTGTTACAGGAAGGGCCTTCCTCTTTAAGACATATAGCCTCATAGATCATTTTGTTGTTGCGACCTGTGTGTGGCGTATGAGAGCAAGAAGACTGGAACAGACTGCTTTTACATGTAGCCACAGGTGGGGAAAATACCACGAGCAGTCTGCTCTATGTGTATAGATAGGATTGTAATGCAGTTAACTGGGCACCAAAGGCCACATGCAGTGTTCATGTTACCACAATGTTTGTGCTGTGCTTTGAATGGAGTTAGCTGGCCTCCCTCTTCACTTCTTCCCACCGGAAAAGTCCCAACTTCTAAGACTACCGTAGTTACCAGCTACGAGCCAGGGCTAAAGCAACTTAACCATGATCCAGAGATCCCCAACTACAGACTGGGGCTGCAGATCTAGTCGGGTAACACCATATTCAAGAAGGTTACAACTAAAAAGAAGTTGGATACCACAAGTAAAAGTAAAGTAAAACCATAATTAACACTGGTGTGGCTTTTTAACGATGGTGACAACAGAGAAAACAAAATGGGCAGAAAAGTGACGCCATGGTGGCCAGATTTCTGCTGGACAGGTAATTATCAGTTTTATTTGGTTTGGGGGAATTTATTGTTTTCCTGAACTCTGCAAAGTAGTAGTCAGGCAGTGCATGTTGCAGTGCATGTTGTGTTTTAAAGGAGTGGCTTTGGAGAGAAGTCAGAACAAAAGGGGGGGATTTATTCAGTTGACTACTTTCAAAATTGTGCTTCCTCTCGCTGTTTTTTCCAGAATCACCAACCCTACCTTTAAGACAAGCTCAAAATTAAATAAATATATGTGAAATTGATTTATGTCAGATCCTGAGCAGTTGACATTGAAAAAAATAGATATTAATAACATTTTTTTCTGTATTTTCATTTTTTTAAAAGTTACACCGTAGTGACAATAACGACACTGTATGCTGTTTGTACATATACTGTATCTCCATAGACAGTGTTTGTCCATCACAGCTGGATGTTGAGTTCACTGCGCACGCCATCACCACCAGAAACACTATCATTGCCCTCAGCATCTGACAGGAAGCCACTGCCTGTGAATACTGTGGTGACATTCTGTTCAAGGGCTGTGATTCGCTGTTTCATTCGAAGCTGGGAAGAGTTGAACTCACTCTGCAGACGGGCTAAACATGTCTGAAAACAATAGTATCATTAGGTTTTAACATTCTTATAATGACAATTTGGAACACAGGAGTAGTACCAACAGCAGCAGTTGTAGTAGTGAATTAACAGCACTGACCTGCAGCCGATCCAGACTGGTTTCCAGCCTCTCCACCTTCTCCTCGAGCTCTTCCCCTGCAGACACGTTTATCTCTTCCAGAAGTCCCTCCTTCTGCAGGATGTCCCTCCCCCTCTGCTCCAGCTGGGCCCTTGCATCAGGGAACTCCTGAAGTGCCTCCATCAGGTCTTGTTTGGAAAGGCAGAAGAGGTCTGAGTATCCCACACTGCGAATATTAGCTGTACGTCTGTTGCCCATCTTGCCGCCACTGATATTCAGGACACTGATCTCTCCGAAGCAGCTCCCTGCTGTCAGAACCGCTAACTGGGTGACTCCATCCTCCCCCACCACCGCCAGTCGGCCATCTTTAATTATATACATCTCCTTACCTACATCTCCCTTGAAACAAACAGAGAACATAAATCAGGACTTTTGACTACAATACGTTTAATGGAAAAGTACATTAACTGAAAGCTAGCTATAGCCAGGCACAGGCTAGCATATCATTGGCAGTTATGAAACTGTTTCCATAGAATTAAAGGTAACCTGTGAATTTTTGACCAATAGATATGGAGCAGTGCTTTCAACAAGATGGTCCATGTTTTGTTTGCAACAAGCTTGCACACATGGATGCACATGCACAGCAGAAATGCATAAAGAAGCACAGCAATGAGGCAAAAAAGGCAAGGAACAAGACTGCAAACTTGCAGGTAGAGTATGGCTGTAAATAAAGCATACAAAATATTTTTAAAACTGGCTGTCGTACAGTGCCAGAGTTCTGCAAACTACACAGTGTTGCTCATTCTAGGTATATTTCAAATGTTTCCAATAAGTTAATCTAGTTCCTGTGACCACTGACAATTAATCAATAGCAGTTAAATTTTACAAATGAAACTACTACAGTATCACAAACATCACATTTTTTAGTGCTAGTGGCTGAAATGAAATTGGGTAGAGCAGCTTTAAATACATAAAATGCAACAGCAGGAGCAATTGATAAAATGTCTTTCAACAGTATCAATAAAATACTGACCTTTCTGCAGATGTAGTCTCCAGGACTGAAAACTTGTGGTTGAAGTTTCAATACCAACTCTACAAGGAGGCCCGCCTCACAGTTCTGGAAAATACGCACCTATGTCCACACACACACATACATACATGTTTGAAGACTTTTCATGTACTCTAATGGTGGTACAAGAAAAAAAGGTCAATAAGAAATGCAACCACACATGACACTGTTTACCAACATCAACAAACATGTTAAATTTTGTTCACCAAACTTTGTGGTCCTATGTGTGTTTAAGCAGAACCCATGACAGCCTGGAGCAATGTGATTTCATGTAATATAGATGGAGTTAGGTCAGATGGTGTAAGTGTCGTTACCTTTTTCAATGTGTCCAGGTGAACATTAATAGCAATCTCTGCTCTCAGTTTATTGGGAAGGCTCCTCAGCACCTCCTGTTCATCTATTGTCTTCTGATTGGTCCAGAGGTAGTCAAACCAGCGGATGACGCGCTGCTCTAGCACCTTGCTGACATGTCTGAAGTGCATATAATGTTTCAAAGAATCTACGCGGCTTTGAAATGTTGCTCTAGTGGCATTCATGTTGGAGATCATGGATCCAACATTTCCCACAATGGATGCAAAAATCAGAACACCAACCTAGAATAGAAAAATACCAGAGTAAATTGTTTTGGATAGACTGGAAATCCTGGGATCCACATTGTATAGTATTTTTATGAATCAGTCAGTGTGAACATATCAGTCAATTGCCATTCTTATGGACTTACCATAAAGTCAAATATCAGGAACATATATTCCTCATCTCTAACAGGAGGGGGTGTCTCACCAATGGTAGTCAGTGTCAGAGTAGACCAGTACAGACAGTATATGTAACTTCTGGACAGTGAGCCAAACTCAGGATCAGATGCATTGGGATAAACCCAAGAATCGGAGCCTAGTCCCAGGAATTTAGAGAAGCTGTAATATACACAGGCATTCCAGTGAATGATCACCAGGATGTACAGAATCAGTTTACAGATGCGGAAGGCGTTGGGGTAGCCTGTTCGTGTTTCTGTACGTTCAAATAACTCAAACAGGCGTGACAGGCGCAGCAGCCTGTTGGATCGAAGAAGAGGCGTGTAGCTGACTCCAACAATCAAATATAAGAGATCGGTTGGAAGGATGGAGCATATGTCAAGTTTACACTGTAAGGTTCGAATGTAGGTTTCTCTCAGACGGCGCACATCTTTCACCATCAAGCCTTCATCCAAGAAACCTATAAATATATAAATTAATGAATGAATACATGTAGATGTCTCTCAGATGAGAAATGTATTATTAGTTAAAGTCTCGATTCAGGAAATCTGCACAAGCATATGCACAGGCAAACACAGTAATATACACATGCATTAGATTGCCATTAGAAAAGATGAGATCAGTATCATAATGTCCAGATGGTTCTGTGTTGAAACAGAAATTGAAAAATGAAAAATGAGTGTCATTATTTTCTGCACCTGTGTGGAGACGAACAACTATATCCAGGATATAGACTCCATCACAGGCGTAGTCCAGCACCAGCCACAGCAACACATTTCTCATTTGGAGCTCATCAAAGCAGGCTCTGCAGAAACACATACAAATGTGAACAAAAATCCTTTTGAGGTTCTAGATGAACATTTTGTCTTCAGACTGGAATGCAGTTGAAAACCATTAGGATGAAATGGCAACTGCTCTAAACACTAAACTACCCCATATTGCCGCTTTGTGGACTGAGCTTTATCATCTCCACCAGCATGTTGATTATGTTTATCAGGGACATGCATTTGTGTTGGTTCGGCAAGGACTTGTCATTTGCGGCTGTGTACTTGGATGAAGCATGTTGACCTTAGTCACAATAAAAGTTCCCAACCTGACAACTAGCAGAGTCCAGTTATAAAAAACAGCAGCACCAACCACCATCAGCCAGTGGTAGTATGCATCATCAGACGGGGATAAGACCGCAACTTTACAATACCTCCTCCTGAAAAAATGGGAAAAAGATAAAAACTGATATTTTGGTGTGAGTTGGTGTTTTAATACATGTGGTTTTTGCTTGTGTTTTCTTACATGCATCTGGATTGTCTGATTTCACTATCTACATCAGAGCCAGTGTGGCTGAATCTGCTGGGCGGGGCCTGTATATCCATGTGGGCGGGGCCTCTGAAACGTTCCAAGAAGGAATCCGGTCGCTCCGTCTCTTCAGCTAAACTCTTGTGAGCCCATTCTCTCAGGGTCATCACCATACTTACTATCCTGCATAGAGAGAATAGGCATATTAACACTTAAGATCAGAAGAGCCCAGTACCAAACAGTACTATAACAAATTGTTAAGGGTTTGGTCAAAAGTTTGTTATAATTCCCACACATGATTTGGAACTGTTTTCCTATAATACTCATTAACAAAGACTAGAAACATTTAATTTGGAAAGTGGATTTAAAAAGTAAAAGTAAAATCAAACTGTGGATTTAACAGCTGTCATACCTGGACAGAGCACCTCGCCCACGGAAGGAATTCTGGGAATTAATATCTCTCCTGTCGATGGCTGCCATTCTTTGAAGCTCTGAAGAAGTGTCATCACACATGGACTGTGCTCTACAGACATAAACCCACAAGCAGACACCACCAAAAAAAATTTAAAAATTCAGGCACTATTATCAACAACAACATAAACTCCTCTAAAACGGTGGGCATTAATATTTTTTATTAAATGAACTTGTCACAGAAACAGACAGCAAGGACAACATATTCTGGATATGACAACTAAAATGCTAAAGACAAAAAAGAGATGATTAAACTTGCATTGCTTCTTTGGTCACTTGAAGACACTGCAACAAGTCATAAATACAACACTAACCTTATAAAAATTAGTAAGCATATCTACACATTTACAGTGAGAAATACTATCATTAATTTGGAGTTAGTTTTCTATACACGGTCAATGCAATTAATAATAATAATAATAATACAAAATTTAATTTGCAAAACAATGTTGTCTCTTCTTGTAGGTCTGCTTTGGTTTCCACTATTGCTTGAGAGAAATACCTGTCTATTTAGACAGTAAATGCTCCAGCTATGCTCATTAATTAGTTGCAGGCTTTGCCTATATGGTGCTGGGTGGGTAGTATACCATGGGTTATTCAGAGCTTCTTTCCTGAAAATGACTGCATGCTATTTCTGGGGTTAATGAAAACCATGAGGCCGAGCTGGGGGATATTTCATTGTAGGTTTGTTGCTACGAGTGAATTATACCTCTCAAACCACAGTAATTTTTATTGCTAATATAAAATACAGATTTGTGCAGGTTGAAATATAAAATATAAATATGGTAAATACACAAAAGCATAAGTGTGTTTGTGTGTGTGTACCTGCTAAGAGTGCTGTCAGCTCGGTCACTGTCCTCCTCTGCCCATGTTTTCACAGACAGTCTGTGTGCATCTTGCCCTGGACCTGTCATACTACACATACACACCAAGAGTGAAAATTTTCATTTTTTTCATTACAGAAAGATCCAACACATTGCCATCACACAAATACAAATACACAAATAAAATATGAGCAGCAACATATTCATATTAAAAGAGATATAGAGGCTTGTGCAGACTGTCAAATACACACACAACTCTCTACTCAGTGAGAAAAGGAAGGTCATTCAGTATGAGGTCATCCAGTATCAGGCATCACCAGGGAAACCAGATGGCATAGCAACAAGCTGTATAGTAGTAATAAGAAATCATAAGTGGGAAATATAAAATGATAGACAAACCTGGTCAATTTCCTGATGTCCCAGTTCAGTTCACGTTTTAGTTTTGTTACTTCACATCTATTTATCTGTGCATCTACTGATGGATCTTTCTATCTAGCTGTATATAAAAATCCACAAGCCATTAATCGCACTGGACAGATGAACTGTCTAATGAAGGGATGGATGGATGGATGGATGCAACCAATAAAAGGAATGGTCACATGGTACTTGACAAAGGCATCGTTTCATTTGCAGATTGTGTGTGTGTGTGCGTGTGTGTGTGTTGCTTTTAACCAGCAAGCTCATCTGAATTCAAGAACCTTGTTTGAAGTGGCCTCTGAACTACAAGTGTGCCTTTGTGCACATATATTCTCCTGATTACCAAGAGAGAGGTTTTTTTATATGTACGCTTGCACGTGTGAGTTGACACAGTCTTATATTCCAGCTCTATTCAGAAAATGGATTTTAATCCAAAATATCAGGTTTGCTAATACAACATTATATCAAGGACAAGGAGTAAACATTTGAGATGACAGTTCATCCCATACTGTGGTGCACACACACGCACACACACACACACACACACACACACACATTAAACTTGCAGGGTAATACTGAGTGTTTGGGGGGGGTCGACTGTCAAACAGTTTACCAAATTAAACCCAGGTCACATCCAACAAGCTCAGTGGGTGCACTGCAACACTATTACAAATATTCATACCACTATAATGATGTGATGTCACATAATGGACTAATGCTCAAATCAGTTGTATATACAGTATATGTTATGTTAGCTCCAGCTGGAGATATCAGAAACATTTAAGAAGTTTGTTTGCATCTGGTTCTACTTGACAATGAACTGCTGTTTATCTGTTGTGACTACAAGATTAACACTAGGGATGACCACTTTTGAATAATACTGTGTGAACACTCAAGTTTTTTCCTTTATGCACAACCCCGTTACTGTCCACAGATACCCAGCACCACTGACTATATAAAAGATGGACACCTCACCTCCTCCATCCATGATAGTGGATGGGACATGAGTTATACTAAAAACTTAAAGTACTAATCAAATAAATGTTTCTCAGGGGTGATTTTTGTGGGTTTTGATACATATTATTGTGCTGTGTTTGCTGTGTCATGCGTGCTTTGTTTTTAATAAGTTATTTGATGATATTAAAAGGAGTGTATTTGGATTGATTTGACAGCTTTCATTGGCGGTCTGATACATCACTCAGCTACTTGGTCGCTACCGTGCAGATTCTGATTGCAAAATGCCAAAATGGCAGCCACCAAATTCACGATGTTTTGGCTTCACTTTTGCATAGTGGAGGGAAGTGGTGACACGTCATTCATATTTATATACAGTCAATGCCCAACACAAAATGGCCAAATGTTTGGATCTAGCCAGTGAACATAGAGAAACATTTAGCTTGCTGCTAAAAAGGTGGCTTTCTCCTTCACAAATTAGTGGAGACCAAAACAGAGCTAAAATATGTGGGATTTGCATCTACCAAGAGGCCAGCAACAGAACTCAAAACCCCTGAGACATGCTGCTTAGACTCTGGCTATCCCACACTGCCTCAGTAGCATAGTCTCAGGTGTGCAACTAACAGCTAGTCCTACATAATAGACCTAATAGTGGTCTGTATTTGCAACAGACGTGACAGTAAGCAACCTTCGCCATGCTAATTTTATTAGCTTGTTTCTCCCAAAGTGGCTAAAAATCAGTTAATTAATATTTAGGGAAATGAGAATATCTAGATCCATCTCATGTTACTGCCTTACACATACAATCCATATACTGTACGTATACAAGTCAAGTCAGGCTATGGGTAGCCTTGCAACTGTGGTTCAGGAGGGGGTCCGAGCAGGTCATCCACCAGTCCCAGGGTTGGCAGTTCAATTCCTGGCTCTTCCTGTCTTCATGTGGAAGTGTCCTTGGAAAAACACTTAAGCCCTCTACCTGGGCAGGCCAGTGCCTTGTAAATCCACCACCATCCAATAGGTGATTCAGTTAAGTTCTGATAGGGTAGAAAAGCGCTACATAAGTGCAGTCCATTTACCATTTAGCTTTGCATAAAGATTCAAAGCAAAATAGCTAGCCTGACTTTAAACCTAAATAAAAAATTACATATACCAGCAAAGCTCACTAACACACTGTATTTCATAGTTTAATTAGTAAGAGCCAGAAATGTATCAAACAATACCAACAAACAATATATGGAAAAATGCTTTTATTTAACATTGCTGATCTGATTGTAGAGACTGAAGTTTGGAAAAATTGCTAGCATGTAAAACAGTATTTTTTTTTAGCAGAACAAACACTTGATTGTATAGTGCTTTTGCTTTGAATAAAAGATAAAATGTAATTGTGGAATGTTAATCAGCAGCAACAAATCTGGACAAATTTTAAACTAAATGTAATATTTAACATTCATACAGGACTAGATAATCTGGTTCTTTTTCTGAAGTGAAGTCACATTGTCACCATGCTTGTTTAATCAGCAACAGCAGAGTTACTGAATTCAGATAACCTTTTCCTGTGTAGGAATCAGCACAGTGATTATAGAGGAGAAAGCACTGACTAGAGGTCACTGACGGTGTTCTCTTCTGTTTTGTTGAGGATGCACCAAGGCACCGGTAGTGCTGACATGTTACATTTCACATCCACACGTCCACATAGATTAACAAAATAGACTATTTTCCTTCTTGAGATTTGATTTTGAGGTTGTTATTCAGTATTCAGGGATTTATTACAAGATTTGGTAATGGATACAGTGATGAACTATAATATATTACAGGATCCTTAATGGATTTCTGCATGAATCAGAGTGGTTTTAAAGAATATAAAATTACATGTCTTTTAAGTTTTAAACAGTAGCTTTTTACATAGGTTGAATCTGATGAGTTTTTATCCTTTAAATCTCTTAAACAATGCAGGAGACCAGTTAAAATACCTCAACACATTACAACCATTTATCAGTTAGCAAGCTCCCTAAACTGCTGCTGAAAATGTCTTAAATACAAGAGTATATTAATGGAATTTAAAGAATTTTTTTTTAAGTATTTTGTTTTATGGTTTCTAGTGCGAATACAAACTGGTTTTAACACAATATAGCTTTAGTCAAATATTAATACAGGCTTATAGGAAAGGACAAAAGAACATTATGGCTTAAGTATAATAAATGCTCATACAGTAAAATAGCTAGCACTTTGGGTGATGCAGCAGCTGGTATACATGAGGCAGTGACACACAGGAAACTTTGAGGCAACAGTGTAATTAGGGACAAAGTTGGCTTTCATTAAACTCTCAGAGATTTTAATAAAGTACTGAGGAAAAACTACAAAAATCACTAACCCAAGCCTTTGCTTTCAGCAGGGCTGAGGAATGTTAAATGAATATATAGGTTTCCCATGTATTATAGCTTTTACATTTAAAGAAACAGGCTTATCCCTCATTAAGATCACAGGCAGACAGGAACCTATCCCAGCATGTACTGGCAAGACCCTGGGATCACCAGTCTAGACAAACACATTCAAGTTGGAAGCCTGAAAATATAGCTATGTTTACTCTTCTCATCCAACCAAAAAGACAAAGCAGGCACTCAGTACGTGTTTGAGTGAATGTATGGCTCCTTTAAACCTTCTTCATGCCTCTCCCCATCAGGCAGGCAAAGATGGTCATCACCATTTTGGGGTTGACCTCTACTAAGTCCTCAGGCAGAGCGTACACTTTTGCTCCGATCTTCCTCGCCATGGAAACTGCATATCTAGTACAGAAAAAGGTCATAGTTAGGGTCACTATGGCAACATATTAAGTCTATTAGTTTCTCCTTATGAATCCTATGTGTTGGTTCTATCTTTCTATTGTCTGTATTATTGTCTGTGATTTACTTCCATCTCTGTGGGCTTTGAAAGCTGCCACTGAAAATAGCTGCAAAGCTGTTTTCCAATCTTGAATCCAAGTTCAAATCAATTGTCTATGTTCTCTCATGTTTTGAGTTTGAGTTACATTTGTGTCAAAATCCTGTATATGTGATGAGACATTCTGAAAATAAAAATAGACCTTTTGCAATCACATAAATTATATCTTGTGCCATATTATTATTATTATTTATCTATTTATGTATTTATTTTTACTGTACCAAAACCCAGTGACTACCAATAAAAACACAAACACAGAGAGAAGCAGGTAGATAATTACTTAGCATTGTTCAGTTTGTCTTCGTCTGATAGGGTTCCTGTTCTAACCAGCTCAAAGTTCACACTGGTTGGCTGGATGGCATCAATGAGGTCCAGAACTGGAAGACTGGTACTAATTGCTTTGTCCTGCACAGAGAGACACACAGATAAAAGCATGCTTCACACAGACTTATATACAATGTAAACTCCTACTCCAACTTGTCTTTACCTGTTAATGTAATAATACAAAATTGCTTAAAAAATGGAATGTAATGGAAACCTGTTAGTCTATGTAGCTATTTTTGAGAGGGAAATCTCTCACAATAATAATAAATGAGTAAGAATTGTAGTGGCTAAAAATAAACAAGGTAACAGTATGTACTTCATATAGATATTATTTGTACTAGTTGTGTAAGGATGTAAGGCTGAGCCAAGTGTGTACGGAAGCTTGATCTGTTTCTGGCGCAGGCAAGAATATCTTGGGCTGTGTCCCCCTTGTTTAACCTATGGGTCAACATCCCGAGTGACTTCCTCCTCAGATAGGGAATGGATATACCGTAGCTGCAGCCTTATGTGAACTGTTCGTGTGCTCTGTTCAGGTTTAGAAAAAGGAAATGTGTGCTAGGTCAACCTAGAAGTTCATGTACTGGACATTTTTAGACTATGCTCGGAAGAAGGTGTGTGGGTAGCTGGCATGGGACTGTGTCTTCATGGCTCAGGCCATGGAGGGCTGTGTAAGTGCGAGCAGATAAAAAGCTGGGTTAGAGCAGAAGAGGAAAAAGAGAGAGAGAGAGAATGCTACTGGGACAGTAAACCGTGTACTTTTTGGGGACCCGGCCAGGGGGAGACTGAAAACCAACTCTGGGTTGACAGAATGATTGACTCGTGACCAACAACAACTGACTGGACTGACGCTTTTAACAATCTTCTTATGTAATGCTTTATCTATCACATTGCAGGAGGAGAGTCCCTGTTCTCTGTTTCCCTAACTACAAGATTATCTGTTTAAATACTACTCTATTCAGAATAATTGTAATATTAAATGATCCTTTAAATTAGGATGGTTTGTCTGAATTAATTTAGTCGGCATCACACTCTAGCCACGACAGAATCAAAACAAGTAAAACTCAGTTACCTTAAAACTTTTGATAGATGACTTTTTGCCAGCCTCAGTCAAAGTCTTGTTGACCCAGGAAACTATCAGATCATCTCCAGCAACTGCTCCATGTCCAAGATTTTCCAGAACATTTAATGTGTACCTGCATATAAAGGAGAGAATATATACAGATAGAGTATTCTAGGGTCTGATGTTTTCAAATATTATTGAAGGATTTTGCTAAATTAATGCTACATTTCTCATAAATCCTGTTGTTTTCAGTCACACAGAGGACTGATTTCCATGGGTGGAGCTGAGGGGGTGGCCAGGGGTGGCACCAGAGTCAAAATCTGATGCTTGTCAGTATTAATGAAAAACAATGACAAATTGTTGACTCAAACTAACATTTTCTTCTGGTTCAGCATGATATTTGCATTCATTATTTTGACTGTGTTGTTGTGGAGTGCTTGGCATGATCTGCCTCAGTGTGGTGGAGCCACTCTGCTCCCTGTCTGGGAGTAAATAAGGAACAAAGCCAGAGTTAGCTAAAGGAAGCACCACATATCTCATTTATACACATAATAGATTGTTAATAATGTGTGGTTTCTTATTTCATAGACCTAATGGTTTTATTTACTTTTTACATGTATTTCAAATGTGCCACCCCTTTCGGAGTCTGTGCCCCAGCCTGGCCAGCCCATCCAAAGTTTTATAGATCTGCCCCTGCTGACTTACCAGTGTTTCTGGGTGTGTTTGTTTTCTCTGTGGTTTCAGTGAAAGGGACAAACATGTCAGAAGCAATGTGACGCTGCCATAAGGTCTGACAGCCACACTGAGAGAACAGCGCCTTTTCCCTGTTGACTTTTTCCTCAGTGGTGTTGTCATTTCTTTGTGGTAATTTTTTTAACCTTTCAAAATTACTATGTAATAAGTTAAAGCTCCACTCTCAAGAATAAGTCACCTCCTCATCAGCTGCCACACCAGTGCCAGGGTTAGAGTTGCATTGCCATCATAGAGGTCCTGTCCGGCGATTCCCACCAGGGAAAAACCAGCTTTTTTCTTACCCAGCTCCACAGCATAGTTACAGTTTTCTATCTGTTGTACACACACACACACACACACACACACACACAACATTAGTATGTCTTAAGCTCAGTGTTTTGATAATAAAGCAGGTAAACAGGCTTATGTCCTCATTCGTTAATATTGGCTCCTATACCGTATGTAAAAGGAAGGAAAATTGAATGAAAAGTTAGATATGTACTGAAATTGTGTGTAATCATTAAAATCTAAATATCTTTTGAGTACAGAAACTTCTGTATCATTTAATTTCTTCTTCATGCATTGCAGGTTGCAGACCTGTTCTTGAAAGGACGCAGTGAAGTCTTTATTTTTACCTTTTTTAAATGCCCTCCTCCGACCCCTTTGAATGGAGGAAGGTTGACTTTGTTGTCCCAGTCTACTGGCACCTTAATCTTGTCATAAAGCTGAAGAATCACAATGGCATCCTGCAAATCACTGCATTAACACATATCACGAACATGTGAACAGATGCATGTATTTAAGCAGTGAAGTGTACATTGGTGTGGTTATAAACAGTAAAAATGATAACTACAGATGCATCTACAGTCATTTCAGACAGAGATAGACTGACCTGTAGATATAGTGAACATGTGGATTCACTCCGAGAGAGTTCATCCAGTTCCTAAATGTTCTCTCCTCTCTGGTCTCACCTAGACAGAGACAGTAAGAGAGACGTAAGCTTTGCAGACACAGGAGGCTTTTACTTGGGGACAAAGCTACTTCATATACAGTATGGACATGGATGTGTGTGAGTGTGTAAGAAAGAAATGTTTCATCCATGCTTACTTTCTAGATTCCAGTCTTGGTTCTCTGGTTTGGTGAGAGCCGGATGTTTGTTGAAGAGCGTGGCTATGAAGGCCATGTTGAGCTTTGCATTTCCACTCACGACATCAGTAGCAGTTACAAACTGTCGGCAGCCGAGGCGTTCGGCCTGTTTGAGCATACACTCAGCTCTCTTTGTGAGATCCTTCTCCTAGTCACACACACAGACAAACATACATTTACATTCTATTAGGAAAAGCAAGATCTGCCATCTGGGACACAGGACATTGTTTAAAAGTTTCCATATAATGAATGACATCGCACAACATCAAACAAATTCAAATTATCTATAGCATTTGAGTATGATTTTCTAACAGAGAACTTACTGCCTCAGTAATAAATCACCCTCATTTTCATGTAGAAGGCAGTCTTACTACTAGTGGGAAGACTAAATATTACCATAACTGAAAAAAACTAAGAAAAGATAAGACTAAGCTCTCTCATATTATAAAGACAACGCATGTGTGATTTGCTGTTTTACAATGTCTGTGGCATGAAAATTACTATGGGGGAACAAGAGAAGAGATTATAACCCTGCTTATATACAGTAACTCTACAGGAAGCAAGAAGAAAGTCTACAGGAAGTGAGCTTCCATTCAGCCTTTGATAGCCAAACAGAAAGCAGCTGGGACTGCATATTGAAATACACTTTGTTTCAAAGACATCCCCCATTGTGTGTGTGTGTGTGTGTGTGTGTGTATATGTGCTTATGCATTAAACTCTTAAACATATTAATAAAGTGAGGCCCAAATGTATTACTGATTTAAATTGTCTGACTAAAATTTGCATAAATAATAAGAATAGATAAGGTAAGCAACAGGGAGAAAGGAAAGCACTTAGCTGCCATAAGATGTAAGGTTGCATATTGTGGCTGTGGTGGTGTTTTTTTATCCACTCACGTATAGACCAGTCATATCAATCTCAACCCGAGGAACGTCATCTTTGCTGCCATCTGGAGCAATCTGCTCTAGCAGGTGGAAATATGCCTTGGAGTCCTGTTCAGAGAGGGAGAAGCACAAAAACATACAGGAGTGAGACATGACAAAACACCAAACCACACAGACATTTAGTCCTCACCACAACTGCAGGATTTATTCTCCTGAGTGGATTACACATGGGTTACATTGTGTTTTCTTTATGGGAGTCAAGCAATCACATGCTACATGTATTACCATAATTACAGTTACAGAGGTAAAACAGTAGGAGCTTTTCACAATTACCTTTATATCTGTGGAAAAATTTGTTATGGACATGCCAACTTTCTTTAAATGGAAATTGACCCATCGCAGCAGCAGCTCCTCAGGACTGAGTTTCTTCAAGTCTTCCAGGCTCTCGCCTTCCTCTAGCAATGCTGCAATAGCTGTACACAGAACGACAAAGTGTGACCATGGCTAGAATGAAAATGGGTGTTTGTATGAGAGATTGTCTGCATGTGTTGGTAAAAGCGTATAACTCTTTGTTCCAGTTTACTTTTATGCCACTAAGATTATCTGCATTTTGTGAAAATCTAATATGCATAAGGACATTGCTTTCAGTGTTTCAAACTTCCGTAACCACAAAGGTATTGTACATACCTTCATTGCGGCTCAGCTCTATATGAGCAAACAGTCCTATCTTGATAATCTGCCAGAGGAGTCCAAGCACCAGGTGAGGTTTTCCTTCCTTCAGATCTTGAGCTCCAATATTGACAACCTGGCAGCCGATGGCTGAGGCTGAATTCAATGCCAAATTCAAATTCTCCTGTTAGGAACAAATCAGTTTCATGTAGTTTCACAATAAAACACTGACTAAACACTAACCAACCTGTGTGGTGAACGCTGTGAGTTTCTTTTTATTGATGGTTCTCTCATCGATGGTGTCGGGAACAGAGAGGTTGATGAGTTTACTGCACAAACACATGAGAAAAACATATTGATACATAGAACTAATATAATGCCTAAAAACACACTTGAAAAGAGGTTAAAATCATAGACTATGTATAAAGATGGATGACAGCTCCCAGAAGTGAAGCCACACACATGACAAATGACCCATGGTGGGTGGTTGCAGTATAGGTCATAAACCCCGCCTTCTCTATTGTCCCTTTTCCACCTCCTGGTACCAGCTCAACTACAACAATTTGGCTTCACTTTTACACAATGGCAAGAAGTGGCTGGCTATTTTCATATACAGTCTATGGTTAAAATGACCAGATAAGTGTGAGGACCAGTGAAATTGAAGGTAAAATTTAAGAAAAATGTAAATTATAAAATACAGATCATTAAGTTACCAAAGCACAATGCCGTCTGCCACTGCTCTAAACAGAGCTTCAGTGTTGGGGTTGATGGGCAGGAAATGTTTACAGTCTGGATCCTTCTCCAAATGAGTGTTGATATAGTTGGCAAAGGCAAAGCGCTCCTGCTCTGAAATACAGTGATGTTAGTTGTCATACCACTTGTCTTGACTGTCAAAATCTACCAATGATATTGCCTTGGCTTGGTGGTCTTGATTACACTGGCTGATTACAGTTCTCTGGCTTTACTAACCAGAAATTGAATGTTGAGTTCCTTCACTAGAGATCTGGCTGGTGCCACCGATAGCTACGATGCCTTCTTTCTTGTTGAGAGCTTTTCTGAAACCCTGGGCCATGCGATCATCCTTCAGTTCCTGGAAAATCTAAATGTGCACACAAAAACACAGCAACATTTAGAGTTAGTCACCCTCTCGTTGTCACATAGTTGATTTCCCACTTCATGTGTTAGTTTGTCCTTTACCTATTAGTCACTAATCCCTGCAGTTAGTTACAGTAGAATTTTAGTCAAGACGCTTGTTTGTCAGTTGAATATCCTAACCACTAAGTTAGGACTTTATTACTCAACACTTAGTTGATAGTAAGCACATTTTTAGTAACTTTGTAAGTGTCCATTTAGTAAGTTAGTTGCTGAGTAGGTTAGTTAGTTACTGTTACCTACAGCTTTAAATTCTTCAAAGTTGATCTGACTGTCCTTGTCTTTGTCCAGCTTCTGAAGGAGTTCTCTGATCTGGTATCCAGGCAAAGGGCAGCCCACCTCACGGAAGAGGTTACTTAGTTCAGAGGCACAGATGTAGCCGTTACCATCCACATCTAGAGAGGTGGGTTGGAGGGAGGAGGAACAGAGACACAGAAGAAAAAAGCACAGTTTGAGCAATATCTGATTATCTTTCATTTTCATGCTGCTTTTCTCAGCTTCTGTTTGATACAATAGGTATCAGGATTCAGCCAATATGTTCATGACAAGTTTTACATTTGCTATTCTAAACACCAAGAATCTGATAGCACTAGATACTTGTATCATCAATGAGTACAATAGGTTCAACCCTGCATTATCTCAGTTTAGGCTTAGAGAGCTCAAAATTCGGACTTAAAGCTTGTATCACAAATTAGGGGTATGGTATTTGAGAGATGTAAACAATTATCCAGAAGATACATCTATTTGTGTTATGGGAAGTGTAGGATTCAGGATTTTTGGAATTAAACAAACAAGCAAGATATCGCAACTTCTGCAGCTATATTTTGGTTGTTTTTGTTCTCTGTCTTTCACAAGTGCCCAAACTTTACAAATTCTGCTACAAAAAGCTTTGCTGTACCCCTTTAATAATGCATTAATTAAAATAACACTATGTAGCAGCTTCAAAAATAAATAAAAATCTGACCAGTCTAGTAACTCTAGTCTTACAGCATATTGTCCAGACAGATTTGGGGAGAGATATTCAATAAATGGGCCTCAGTGGTCTTTAAAACAATTCAAAGGAACAATTCAGCATTTTGGGAAGTAACACCGACCAGCCACTTTACTAGGTACACCTGTACAATTGCATGCAATTCAATGCAAAACCTCCACCTTAACATCTGTGTTTATGAAGCTCAAAAAGCTTCATTTTTTGGTGCAATTGTCATAAATGTACAAATTCATGTATATATTTATTATTGAGGTCATAGTTAAAGGTGGTGTTGTACCGGTCTATGTTATACTTAGTACAGCTACATGCATGAGAGGATAAGAATATTAGGAGCTTCATAAACACAGATGTTAAGGTGGAAGTGTTACAATGAAGTGCATACAGTTGTACAGGTGTGCCTAATAAGGTGGCTGGCGAGTGCATATTGACTTGCTGCTTTACTAAGAATTAAATAAGATTGTTACCAGTCATGTCTGTTAGTTAATAACTCATGGACTTTGGGCTGCACAAGTATTGAAAAACAAGGCCACACACACACACACACTTTTACTCACCCACTTTCTTGAAGCCCTCTGTGATCTCCTCCATCTCCTCAGCACTGACCTTTGCTGACATATCGACACCTACAAAATAGTACAGTAGAACACAGGCAAATGATGAATTAAGGAGCTAAAAATATACAGTAAGATTAGTTAAAAGAGTCGTCATCTCTTCAGCTGTGGAAAATGCATATGACGAAATATGTACCTTTTACAGAATATACACCTCATCAGTAATGATCTGTTTTCAGTGTGGAAGATGTAACGTTTCTAAACACTGATAAATGATTCATACATTATCATCAAATTACCTGCTGGACCTTCATTTATTTAAAGCAAAAAAAGTAATTCAACTACTTTTGAGGTGATTGTTAGCCTGAGGCCATGTTAAAATGAATGTTAGTACTTCTCAAATAAGTAAGTCACCATTAAAATTTCTTAAAACTCTATTAGAGCATGTCAGTATCTGATACTGCTGCCACTTTGCATGCTGATGAAGTGCACATGCCTGAAAGGTCCATGCATTAAAATGGCCTTATGTAACTTTTCTTGAACAGCTGCCACTGTGGCCCCCTTATGGCAATGATGAGCTTACTAAAAACTCTAAAACTTGGTGTAACTGTAACACAAGAAGGAAAGAGTCAGCAAAGGTTTGCTTTGCCACCAGAAGCTACTGGTCATAAGGCTGTAACAGTAATACCTCTGAGCTTATTGAAATTAACAAGACAGTGTTTTATTGCTTATAGGAACAGGACTCGTTTTGTTAGAGGAAGATTGTGCTTAAAAAGCTTAATACTATTTTAATAAATCACTCATGAGCTAAGCTGATTGTACTGATTTATAATCATTCCTTTGGGTATAAAGACTAAAACAACATCTAAATGTGTTATGTAGACTGCTTCTGGTGTAATATGATTTGGTTAAAAAAACTGTATGACAAACTTTAAATGACAATTGTACTGCTTCTGTCCATATTATTTAACTATGGATAGACAAATAGCAACATCAAGCTACAGTATGAAGACAGTTCTGGCCCAAATCCAATGGAGGTCAATGGCATCGCCTTTGGCCACTCAAAGCATGTCCACAAACATCAACAGCAATGTTTATTTCCAAAGATAACATCTTAGGTTTTCAGGTCATCTACAGACCCACACTATGAACAGCCAATTATTTTCTGACAAATCTAAATGTCACCTGTCTCTCTTTATCTGTACTTTGCTCAAAACTTCCCCAAATCAAACCTAATGTTTCCTAAAGGTTATTTCCTGCTTGAAACTACAGTATGTTAAACTTAGGGAAAGCTGATCCTTAAAAGGTGTGGTTGAGTTTATTTGTTTCAGCATGTGTATCTCTTCAGTACCAGATGAATCCTTTTAGATGTAACTGGGATTAGGCGTTCAATAGAAAGAAGCTGAACTAACTTGGTAGCTGCATCCTATAACATGTCAGATAATGTTAAAGGAAATATTAGCCTTGATATACTGGCCAGTATTAAATTAGCCTGCATGAGAGAGAACTTTCTGCTGCAGAGAGCAGAGCCCTGCTAGCCAGGACTAGTAGGTATGGCAACCTGCTCTTTTGCATCCATAGACAATTAATACAAGCCTAGGAAGTCAAATCAGGCAGTTAGCCTGCAACGCATCCAACTCCAAGCAGCACAGTGGTAAAGAGATCTGATCCTTTCACAGCTGTTGAGACATCCATTGAATAATCTTACTTTAAAGGAATAAATGATGTTTTGTTGAGTCGTCCACCTGTGACACTGAGGCAACATAAGATTTTACAGAGACATTAGACAAAATCTCTCATTCTGTGTCACATCACTGGCAAATCAGGAGGCTAATCTTCAGAGCTAACATGCAAATAGTGGTTACATAGTTGGACAGACCCACAAAAACAGGCAATAAGAAGGCCACAAATGTCTCCACAAACATTTGAAATAAAACTGTTTGTTTCAGACTCTGCAAAACAAAAACAAAAAAAAAACTGATGGTGCATTGCCCATACCTCTGTCGCTTATTTATCCTAATTTCAGTCATGAATGGAGAATCATACAACTTAATGCAAAACACGCCTTTATACACAATAAACCGACAGTATCCTCCTCATGACAGCATGGACCTCTAACAGAGGTCTTAAAAGAGTGATTACTGATTCACCAACCTGAGAAAACAGTGTGCAGGCATTTTAGAAGCAGTTGTCAGTCTGTTTCCTGTGCATAGGAAATGCACTGTATTCAAAGGCATTATTGTGTTTGCCGGTTTTGCAAACATCAGCATTATAACTTTATAACAGTGTGAATTAACTGTTGATGCAGAATGGTTGAAAAACATACACTTTTACTGCCACCAGATGTCACTGCTCCAGGGAGAGCAGACTATTTTAATGGCATTTAAGGTATCAAATCATAAAAATGGGTTAATAAATGACATATCATTATACACATGTTTAGGAAATACTGATGAGACATTAAACACAGCTTTTAATTGATCTTTTGCTAAAATTAACATGGCATGGTCAAAACAGCACTCAATTCTGGGATGTCACACTGAATCCGCATCTGCTTTTCCCTGTAACAAACAGTACTGAAAAGACCAAACTTCAACCAAGCCTGGCTGGTCTAACACTGAGTCAGTGACACTGTGTTGTCCAGATGCTATTTGTCATCCAGATGTTGAAGGATCCATACATATGACAATAACCTATTGTACAGCAGCTGATGGACCCCCTCACAGAAAGACGATGCTGTCAGTCATCATTCACCCTGTGCTGCTGCAGTCTGCATTTCTAACATTCATTAAAAACAAACAATAAACCTCCAGTTACATGTGCTTGAATACAACCAGTGTTAGCTGAGCTGCAAATTTTATATTATAGGCTGCAAGCAATGGCTGCAGAAAACTAGTGAAGTGTAGACATACTCTATGTATTACGCATCTGTTTTCTTTATTTTAGTGCTTCATTTGCTTATTCTCCATGATATATCACAGCCTAATTTTTTAATGTCAATACTTTTAGCTTACTCATATTACTGTAAACACTGCAGTATTAACTGGACCTATGTGAGGGGATAAATATGTATTTCAAGGGTCCAAACTAGCGGTTGATGATATATAGGATTCAGGTAACATATAAAATTAAATTATAAGATAGCATACCCTGAAAAATATAATTTTGCTGAATTATCCTATTTCCTCCCCTGCTCCTGAAATAACACAAGACTTCTCCTGAGTCATGAGAAAACGCCCTAAAACGGTGCTTCCTCTTACCTGAAGTCCGCTAGAGCAATTCAGAAAGAATCCCCGTTCGGCCTGTCTCTGCTCCTCCGTCCCGTTTTCTACAGCTGACACCGCCCGGTAAGAGGAACCGCTCCGCCCTTCCGCGCCACTCCTCTCTCTCAAACCAACCCTTCGCTGATTTCCTCTTGTCTCTATTGCAGACTGGTATAAAAGTCGGGTATTTAAAAGTACAGTATGCTATAAGAGAACAATAGTGTGGCGACCCTGACCGGGCGCCGATGTTCATGTGTTTTGTTGTGTGCAAATGGGTTTGACACTGATGTTGAAAGCTGTGCATGTATTGGTTACCGTTGTTTCGGTGAAATACCCGCGCTGTTCTGTCCAATGTGGGGTTTGGGGAGGAACCAGTACGGGAGAGTATAAGAGGGGTAACAGGTGGGTGTCAGGGTGATCGCAGTTGGCTCGGAACATGGAATTCCCTGAGGGAGTGTTGCTACTGCTTTCTTTTTCTGCTATCTTCTTTTTCCTGTGAGCATACGGTGCCAGGTATATCGCAGTTTCATTTTGCATTCTTATTCTGTTCAATAAAAGCCAAGAAAAGACAGAGAAGGTGTTCTCCTCAATGTCAGCCTAGGTGCCAGCACACAGCTGGATAGTTAGATGTCACAATTTCGGATAGGGTCAGGCCAGCTCCGCTCATCCGAACCAGTGGAGCACCACAGTATTCTTGTAGGAAAACGTTACTTTGATATTGTTAAATTTTACATTAATATATTTGATGATAATTATTACTGATTTATTAAAAATGTGCAAAACCTCCAGTCTCAAGAAGACATTTAAAATCTATTATATCATTATACAGTAATTTAAACTAATCAACAGCGCACTGTAGGCTTTTGTTACATCTGATTAAAAAATAATGTTAACTCAATTGATAATTCAATTGGTATATACCGCCACCTAGCGGACTCCTTGTCTCACAGCACACCAGTCTGAAGAAGCTTAATTTTTTTTGTGTTTGTTTTTTCTGCCCCTTAATACATTTGCAGCAAGTTTCTTCTTTTTTCAGTTTAGTTAATTAAATAAATGAATACACAAATACAAATGTGAGTTGCTCTATAAACACTTTATTGCTGTTTTTATTGTTTTACACTCTATGCATTGTCTAACAGTGTATATATAGTGGGTCAGTCCCAACACTCATCCTCCAAATATCTCTTACCAAATCAAATTTAAATAGCAAAAACAACTAGAATGCAGTAATACAATGTATGTGACACTACAGAGCCTTAAGGTGGATTCATTCTCACTAACATATGCTATACTGGTCCATTTACAAATGCATCTGTATATATATTTAAATATAGGATATAATACAAAGGGTAATACACATTCTTCAAAATATAAAGAGAAACCTCTTCTGTATATATGCTACTTTATATATGCACTCAGTTGGCAATTTATTAGGCACACCTAGTTAGAACTAATCCAACAGTGCTGAAATAAACCATCCTTCATGAAGATGATAATGATCAATGTTTGTTCAAAATGTTGCAGAGAAGGCTTTATTCAACTGGATGATCATTTTGGAAGATGCAGTTTGTGCTGTTGAGATGAGGTGTGTTACCCAATTAACTGCCAAATGAATCAACACGTCATAAAATTCTGTTTGGTGACAATAAACAACACACAACCACATTTATAACAAAGTGTATCTATAGCTCACAAAATAAGGACACAACTGACAGCACTGTTCGGGAGATCTACTAGAGGAGACTCATTACAGAGCAGAGTATCATCAACCACGTAGTATGGTAGGAGACAGTGAAATGATCATTAGCAGTACAAATGACTAGCCTGCCATATATTTAAACAACTGTGAGTGCTGTTTGGTATGTGGATAGTCACTGTGATAGAGAATATTTGAATTTTCTACCAAAATGGACCACTTTAATTCTAAAAGCAAAGGGTCTGAATACTTATGACCATGTGATATTTCAGTTTTTCTTTTTTAATAAATCTGCAAAAATGTCAAAAATTCTGTGTTTTTCTGTCAATATGGGGTGCTGTGTGTACATTGAGGGAAAAATGAACTTAAATGATTTTAGCATATGGCTGCAATATAACAAAAAGTGAAAAATTTAAGGGGGTCTGAATACTTTCCGTACCCACTGTATGTTTCAGCAATAAAACAGAAAAAGAAAAGTGGAAACTTGTCTAAAATTGCACACCTTATGGCCAATTGTTAGTCTACAGGCACTATAGTTTTGCTAGTTATACTTTAGTTTAACTAGCAAAACAACTAGGTGTATAATGCTCTTTGAAGATATAGTTTTGGGAGGTGGACACATGTTACCCTTTAGGGTGATATAATTCCTCAAAGTAACCTACTGAGCAAAATGACTTACCTCTATCTAGCTAGCAAGAAAAAGGCAGTACTATAGTTAAAAAAAAAACCTACAGGAAATTAATTGTTTTACTTTTAATTGCTCACTTATACACCATACTAGGCCTAAAGTTAGTGTTTAAAGTTCTTGTGAATGAGCTGCTTGTGTAAGTTTTTACTTTCTTTTGATGTATTTGTTTTTTCAGTACTTGTATATACCAATCACTGTTCAATGTCAGATATGCTAATCATTTATAACTACTACATTGAAGCACTGAACAATGTCTTATCAGGCCGGTAAATACAGTAAGTCATCCTTGCTGAGGGTGAGCCCCAACAGCCACCTAATGAATATTACTGGCCAATACTCTTTGTACTAATACTAATAAAGCTTTATTACATGTCCAGTCAACACATCATGCTAGGATTGTAAAAAATCTATTAGGTAGTGTTCAAATAATCTGCAGCCGATTACTGACTACTCATTCTGCAAACATGCTTCATCAGTGAGTGCAACTTTGTGTATGTGTGAGCTGACGGAGCTCTGCTGCTGATACCAGTCTCTACACGCAAGAATTCTTCTGTTCTCCCCCCTCCTCTCCTCTTGTATCCCTCTCTCTGGAGTGATGTGCTGAATCTTGTCAGAGTAAATGCCCCTTCTGTAGCAATAACCAGGAAGAACTTTCCAAAAGGCCTCACCTTTTCTTTTCTGGGAAACACGGTGGTTCATCAGGGGTTATAGTTAGTGTTATCCTGCAGAAAATTGCTCACTGTTGTCTGTTTAAAAAATTCACATTGCTTATTTTGATTTGTTTCATTAGAGATCTACTCAGTTTGTTGAACTCATTATACAAACTGAAAAGATGAATGTAAGGTTGATTCAACATGTGAATAAAGATATTTCACCCCATAAAGGGTGAGGCGGAAGATACTACCTCAGCTGGTCAGGGAATTATATTAACAAACAGTAAAGTCAACAAAACAAAAATGCCATATGCCTGAAAAGTCAAAATCTAAATGCATGGCTTTTCTAAACACTATTTATTTATTCATGCAGGCTTACCATCTGGGGCTCCAATAGATAAATCAGTTCAAACACAGTTGGATTTGGGTGAGTGTATATGTGAGGGTCCTCTGTTAACCTTCCCTGTACATCAGGTGTTGCTCTCCAGCCAAGCTATCAGTCACCTTTGACTAATAATAAGAGGACAAGACAATGATTGATTTGATTTGATTTATTCTTTCAAGCATATAAAAAAACAGTTGATATAACAACACACATTTTTACACACAATCCAATGTCAATTTGCTTATACCTAGTACATGCTTGAATGGAGTAGGAAGAAGTCAGACTTATCCAGTCCTACCCCATGACATCATCTTACCATTATTGGTTTGCAAGCAATAAATGATTCACTTCTACACTCACACATATTATACTAAAAAAGAATATAACAGTGTTAACATTCCTACATCACACCAGTGATGTATTAAAGAATGGTTACAAAATATACACCACACCCACAATAGTCCATGTAATTAATCATTGAGCCTGTTCTTGCATATATTTTGCTTGACACATACCTTTATATTTATGTTTAAACGCGTCAATTCTATGCGTAATGCTTTCCCATCCAAAATATATTTCACTCGTGCCAATATCAATATACTTGATGTCACTGAATGGCAGAGGCTGAGTGTCACTGAGAAAAGAACATCCTTTCCATATCTGCTTAGTCAAGAAACAAAAACTGCTGAAAAAAGAAATCAGGCTCTGTTTCAGCTCTAGATAAGCTGGTGTGATTGTAATGTAGGTGACTGGGGCCCTGAACAACCACACAGGTATTTCTAATGATTGTGGTTGATTAGCTCAGGTTAATTTGGGATGAGTTATGACTGAAATATTGTAGGAGGTCACCTAAAGTGCTACTCACCCCTGCATTTAGCCTATAGAAAACTTTTAGACCATAATTGGTTCATTTGAGTGGATGTGCTTGTGAAGGCGTCGTAAATCTTTGCAGAGCTTTCACAGCTTTGGCTAACAGACCTTTTTCGCAGTAGACATCTTGACATGTCATAGTTGGAAAAGCACACGTGTAAATGATAACACTCACAATGGCTGCATTCCACTTATGTGAGCCATTTCCAAGATCATGGAATCATGCATGCTTGCTGAGTGGCAGCCATCATTAATGTCATTAGCTACACCTGTGCTTTTCTACTGTGACAACTCAAAATGTCTACTGTGAAAAAGGCCTATGTGACTTTGAAACACTGACCAAGAGTGAACTGTCCAGTTTGTAGTCTGTTGTGAGTTAGGAGTCAGTAGTACAATATGTGTTTTAAATAAACTTTGTTAAATTATATTTGCATGTTAGCATCCAAACTAGCTAGTGAGCTTGTTATTGAATATAATTCTGCATGCAAATAGTGAGAAGAGGTCATATCAGATGTGATGTGCAGGGCCTTGATTTATATAAGTCAGGCTAGAAGATAAGGGGGAAAAGATGACAAAGGTCAGAGGCAGTCGTCCTTGGACTCTATGGGTTGCAACCAGAATAAATACAAATAATAGCAAATAATACAATTAAAATATATTAACTGCAGTTATGAGCTCTTTGTAATATAGTAAGTCCAGGAAATAGACCAGCACCAGTTCTTCTTATCTCCAAGACACCAGATTGTCTTTCTAAAATCACTTTTTATAAATGTAGAGGTAGATCAGTCAAAAACAAAAGGATAATTCATGAATGCGCACAACTCCTGTTGCTGGTCAGGAAGCTGACAATGCATAAACAAACAAAAAAAAAAAAACAACTGACAAATAAGTTTTGTTTTTGACACTGAAAATACTTTAAATCCTACCTGACATGTTTGAGCCAGAATATAAAAGTGGGCAGCAGGACAAACCACAACGACATTAATTAATTTGAATTTCTCCTCCATAGATAGGGAAAACAATGGTTTTCAACACCTTTCTTTTTTGAGCTTTCAGTCACGTTTAAGATAATTCACCATTGTAGCATTGTAGATAAGTGAGAAAACACAGAAAAGCACGCCATGGGCTCTTTAAACTGCATTACATTGCTGTGAATCACTGAGGGAACACAGCCTGTATAATCACTACCCCTCTGTGGTTGGATCCAAGAGGACAGTTTGTTACACAAGTTTAATTAACCTCAAATGAAACTTCACAATTTAAGTTGCTCTCAATAACATCCATAAAAATGACAATGATTTATAAGTGCTTAAGACCAGTTCTTGAAGTTTATGTATGGGCAAGCGTGAGGACCTGAGTGACTGACAAGGGCCAAACTGTGACAACCAGGTCAGAGCGTCTCCAAAACAACAGTTCTTGTGGGCTGTTTCCAGTACGCAGTGGTTAGTAGTGGTCCAAGGAAGGACAACTGGTTAATTAGTGACAGGGTAATGGGCACCCATGGCTCATTAGTTCTCATGGGGAGTAAAGGCTTACCTGTGTTGTCCAACCCCCCAGAAGAGTTACTACAGTATAAATAGCTGAAAAACATGTTTATGCATACATGACAGTACAAATTGATCTGTGTACAGTAGCTTCAGAATGTCTTAACCCATATAGGCACAGAGGGTCATTTTAGAGCCAATGTTCTTAATTCTTAATTTTGAGAATGTTCCAGGAACAATTACATTTCAGTAGATCACAAATCAAGAAGTGGCAGCACGATAAGCTGGCGGTTGGTGAAGTCATCCTTTCTACCCTAATCGGACCACTGGGATCCAGTCTCTTGTACATTTGCCAAAGTATCCTTTAGCAAGAAACCTACTCCTTAAAGTACATGTTAGCTTCAAATGGTTTCACAGCTTCTATGATGAGTAGGTTTAACATACTGTTGGTAGATGCAAAAGGTGCTAGAGGTTAGTAACGTTGACATTTGCGTGGTTTTCATGGCTGAACGCTCCAATTAGGGATGACATAATGTTATGAAGCCAGACCTCAGACCAGTATGACATGAGGTCTAGGGAATTTTCTTTTTCTGCTCTTTACACTGTGTGGGACTGGCAGTGCTGGCTGCCAATTATTAGCTGTCAGTCAGTTGTGGGTAGTGCCATTATATGCAATCTGACTTGTGCTGTGAAGCTCTTCATTCCTCAGTGCACAGTCTGAAAAAAGTTCCATATATAGTTATCCTGCTAGAGTTTACATTTCATTCTTTATACTGCTTCCACTTAAAAGAAGACAACATTAACTTTTTTTTACTTTCCCTCCAAAATGGAGTTTATTTAAACCTTGCATTAAGAAATAAATACTAAAAAGCAACACGTTGGAGGGGTATTACAAGCACAACAGGATGTTCACTTGCTTTTTGTGAACAGGTTTGACTTATGACCTCCACTCTTATGCAGCACGACTACTGTACTAAAGAGTGGGAGAAGGGAATGCTTGTGACTGGGCACTTGCAGTACTGCTTTTTGTGAGCTGAATAGAAATTATTGTGTGACGTTTTTGCTTTTTCACCCATGCAAATAATTAATTTGCATGGATGTTTGAGTTTGTTCAAGTCATGTTTGTTCCTCACTGCACCTAAAGTGCTTCTCATAAAGGTCAATCTGTGTGTGATCACCCAAATCACACACTATAACAAAAAAAATCTAGTCTAAAAAGAAATATGAATCACAGACCAAAGTTAGGATATTTCCTCAAAACTGGTGTGACACAACAATTAGCAGTTCGTAAATGTAAAAGGGAAGGTGACTGTTTTCTTACAAGAGAAACAAACCAGAGTGGCAATCTGTAAGACTGCTCAGCATGAAAGACAACGCTAATGTGTTTATCAGTGTGTATCAGGGAGGTTAATTGTGTGTATGGCTTTAGGTCTCTAGAGAACACTACACTGTCCCCAGACCACACCCATCCAACATACCTCCCTCACCCCACTCACTTTAGCCCACTTGTCCTTATTTGGTCATGCTGGCAGCTCAGCTGATGATTGGTTAAGAGGAAAAAACTATTTTGATTGAGACACACACCTGGGCAGATTTGCACACACCCACCCATACTCATCACCAGCATGTCGCATGTGCACACATGCACTGAGTTGTCAGTTTATTAGGCACACCTAGCTGAACAGACTCTGTCTAACACACATGTGAGGGTGACAGTGTTCAGACTGAGAGTGGTTGATTCACCTCTGTGAGCGGTTTGGAGGTTGTAGTCTGTGCTACTGTTGAAAAACAGAGTTACAATATTTCTGTTTTTAGCTCATCTTCAGTGGCATTATTGCAGGACTAGTTTGTATTTAAGAAACTGTACACACAGGTATGGACATGATACCAGTGTTTCCTCCGTATTTGAATGCGATTGATGCTAAAAAATAATGCTATCTCACTACACAATATTCAATTAAAAAAAGTTTTTTCATTTTTCCCTTTTGTGTGAACTCAACCATAACACCTAACCCTGGTTCAACAATAAAACGCTGGAATGCTATTGTAATTAAATTAAAAGCACCCCCAAGCAAAGGCACCCATCTTGTCCTTGAAGTTGTCAGCCTGCAAAAACACATGATAAATACCTGTATGTGCAGACCACTATCTGTACATCAGTATTCTCCTTCTAAACCCACTGAAGGTGAATGAAGACAACCTGGGATAGTGAAAAGTCCAAAGCAGCATTCCAGACGCCCTCAAAGTGACATGAACGCAGCATTGTGTGGAAGCAGCTCATCAGTACGTTCAGGAAACTGGCCAGTTATCAACAGGAGAAATTTGTGTCTGTGGCTTTTTTTCTCCAGAACAAATATTTTGTGGTGCAGGTATCAAATTTCATGTGTTTTCAGAATCGGGGTTTAAAATGCAGAAAATGCTGTTCTCTCCTTTTTTTAATCTGTGTATTACTATAGCAATGAATGCTAAGCTGCAAACAATAACATACTGCATGACAAATACAAAATAAACTGTATAATATGACATTCTGGTATATTCCTGTAAAATGAGCAACTTCATTGTATAAACAAAGAGAAATTGCGGCCTCTAGCTGTGACATGGAAGAAGACATTAGCAGAGGTTTAGACTGTCACACATTTATTACACAGATACAGAAACAGTTAAACTGTGAATCTGTCAGTTATCGGCGTCGTTACGGTCCACCCAGTGTTTGCTCACTTAGTCAGAGGGCTCTCCTGCAGATTCCAGTTCAGACACAATGGCTCTGGATGAGACAGAGAAACAAGACTGTGTGTGAAATGGGGAATTCAGAAAAATAAATGCACATTGAGCATCACGCTGAGACAGAGACATGCTACCAGCACCATTTCCAAAAATAGATTCACTAATGTACTGTAAGATTCAGCACTTCTCTATGTCTAAAAGAAAAGAACACTGCAAAAATGCTCTGTGATGAAAGATTAATTTCCAGCTCTGACAGAACAGTCTTTTCTTTCCAACCTGCTCTTCTTCATTTCAGCCCTGAGAGCTGAACTGAGCTGGTCCCTGTTCGATTTTCTTTTGCTAATTTGTTCATATATCACACCTTCTGTCAAGACACCAAAAATAGCTTTTGATAAAACTTGCAGAGGTAATACACTGCACCAAAGCACAGGCGTTTTCAACATGACATAGATATATTTAAAAAAAAAATCAAGACAACTTTGTCTGTAAGAACATATGTAAATGTATGTGTAAATACATTTTACACTATATGTTGAGTAAAATACTAATTATTCCTATGCTTCTCACCTTTGCTCATCAGTTAGATGAAACTCAGCCAGTGTTTGCTTTGCCAGCACTGATGTTGCTGGCAGACAAAAGGCTGCAGACAGCTGAACAAGCTCCACTGCTTTCTGTGGGGAGCCGTCCCTGCTACACACTGTTAGGAAGTCCTTCAACAGCTCCTCACTGGAGAACAGCACCGCAGGAAACACACGGTCACAGCTCAGCCAATAGAAACACTTATGGAAAAATGTGTGTCATCAAAAGTAATGAAAGAAATGTAAAGTAGTAAAGAAATGAATTACATTTCATTTTTACAACTTGTTTATCCTGCTGGAACAGTTAGATCCAGAATCACCAGGACTAATGACTTTTAGAGCCGATTATTTAAATGCCTTAAGAAAAAGGCTTTAATAATATTTTCCCAGGTAGTAGGCCTGTGGTCACTTGAATACTTTATGTGACTAATTAGAGCTTTCCATTGTCAAAACTGATTTTCTTTATGGCTGTAGTTTGGGCAGAGACTTACGACGGAACTCTGTTTGTAGATTTGAAGAGCTGCAGCATCTCCCTGAAGAGACAAGGATCATGGTAAAAAGTCACATGCTTTTCATGTTTGCATCATTTGGCAGTAGTAGATTAATAGCTCTCATGTAAATGGACATGCAGACAGATATGCAGCTGTCTCTCTCACCAGGCCTGCTGGGTTTTGTTGCCTCGCAGCAGCAGGGAGGTAATGTGTGAGAGGGCGGAGGGGCTCCACTCCAGACCCGAACTCCCTCTGTTGCCAAACACACTCTTTACATCCAAAGCACATGCTGCAAAGGACTCCTGACACTGCAGACATATATTCATAAACATAGTCAGGCTGACATATTCTGACACATCTTTGTAGGGCTGGAACCAAATATTTGACAATTTATTTGTTCATTGGTTAAATAGTTGGTTTTCAATTTTAATATTAGAATATTCGAGACAGCAGGATCATACAGAATGGCTCCACCTGCTGCCACCGCACAACACACTACCTGTCTGCTGTTAGACAAAGATTGAGACCTTTGAAAAGAAAGTAGGAACTCTGAATGTAAGTATGTGTTTGCCTCCAACTCTGAATGTGTGCAACAGTTGTTTGTCACTTTCCAAGCCAATGATCTGAGTGGATAGGCCGAATAGGCACCATTTTAATCCTGAAAGTGTTACGCTACGTTGAAAAGTCACCATGGCTTTTCTAAATTGTATATATTTGTATGCACTAGATTATTCACCAATAAGTAAAACATGGAAACATGTTTAAAAACTAACATTTAAAAGAAAATTGTTCCTACAGTGAAACTATGTTTTTCAATGCATGGTCAGGGACCACCTGCGGTGCCTTCATAGACCACCAGGGGGCTATAGACCACTGGTTGAAACCCCCCTGTCCCAGAGTGCAGATCAGAGTGAAGTGTTAAGAACTGTGACAGTAGTGTTAGTAACAGCTTTGAGCATTACAATAAAATCAACCAAATAAAATGATATGATGCTTGTTCGCCTCACTGACCTCAGGACTGTGTTGGTCTCTGGCCATCAGGGTCAGCAGCTCCTCCACCAGATCCAAATTATTATTATGACCCAGAGACCGGATATCTGGAAAACACATTCAGAAAACAGAAAGGAAAGCACACGCAATACTGTAATTATGATGTGTGTCATATTCACTGGGTGATCAGTCTCTTAAGACATGTACCGAGTTATATTGTGTAACCACTGCAGTATCTTTAAACTCACCTTTCCATATAGTAGGCAGCAAATCAAGGCGACTATCTGTGTCTAGAGCCTGTAGCAGCCCCTTCATTCCGTGAGCGCTTGGGTAGTACAACTAGAAACAGAGAATGTAAACTGAATATAAACTGTATTTTAGTATGTTATAACTCCTTACTACCTCACCAAGCGTACTGACATATCCAGCTCCACCATCATGTGAATTACTAAGTGCGATGTTTGAAGTTCACTGGGAAAAATACTATTACCCTATTTTTGTGTATTGAGGATTTAATGCATTGTTGCCTTTATGTACCTTTTTTATTTTAAGACTAAGTGTTGTTTATTGCTTTTGACTCCTTACCTGACTCCAAAGGAGAGCTGCACAAGAATTCCTATATGCCTAGACTGTCTGTTTATGCATAAATGGCAAATAAAAATCTTGACTTGACTTGAAAAGCGCCATTAATTTCTACAAAGCAATGGTGAATATAAGTTTGAATCAAGAATCCATTTCACTTTCTTGGGGAGGGGTTCACAGGAAACAATTTCATCTGTGTTTGAGTGAAGATTGTCATTTTGTACAAGAGTTAAAGCTGCACTAATCAATACTTTTATATTAGCAATGATTAAATGGCTACATGTAATAGTAAAAGTGCCACATGTAGTGAGGAACAGCAGTATCACTCTGTCACTATCAGAATTGCTTACATCAACATTATTTGTGTGATCTGCTAGTGGTCATATTGTTTTTGCTGATGTGTGTATAAACAATTGCTCACCAACATGTTCACCAAAACTACCACATTAAAGAAAAGCTTGGCAGCCTTGAATGGTACAATACAATACAATACATGGTCTTGAATTGTAAAAATGAACAGACAGAAGGATGCAGAGATGTACTGACCGAAGGAACGAGCTGTCTGTACCATTTCAGCACCACGTCAATGTGCTCCATTATACACAGCAGGCTGAAGAACCAACCACTGGGGCAGAGAGAGGAGAGGTTCAGTTATAGAGGACAACAGGGTGGAGGCTCGTCTGATTTATTTGTACTGGAGGACAAAACTGTACCGTGTGTGTCATGCTGGGTGTGTCATGATGTGACTGAGAAATGTGGTGCTGTACTGGACTAGACCTAACAAATTTACCATATGTAAGTGGATCAAATATATTTTTGAGTTTCAGATAGTTAATAAAGGACAATTCCATAAGGATTTAATGCTAAATGTAAGCAAGGCATCCACATCTAAATGATGTGTTTGCAAAACAGACAAAGGCTACTGACATTACAGGCCTTAACACTCAATTGTGTTTTTTTTTGGCAGATGTGATCTTTTTGTTTTGATGGTTCACACTGATGTTTGTCCAGCTCTGGTGGGAATGCTGTTGACGTCCTAAACTGTCAGGCATGCACAGATTTAAATGAAATGTGAGCCACATGCATCATTTGTCAAATCACATAATTTCCTAAAAACTGCTTGGTTACAACATGTTCCTTCCAGTTTAGCGTGATCAGAAGCTTCTCCAACCAATGTGAAATGTCCTCGCCCCTCCACTGACCCCTGTTGCTGTTGTTACTCTCTTCCGTGTTTAGTTTTACTGGTCTGTGAGGAGCTGACGCTGAATGGCGACGACAGGCGATATGCGCAGAGGAGTGAGATGTTGAAACGGTCTGATCTGACCGTTTGGACAACTTTTGCATAGTCAGAGATCGGATATGAACTGGATCTACATATGGAAGTGGCCCAGATCTGATCTGCAAAAAAAAAATCTAATTAAAAAGATCAGATCTGAGTCACTTGGAGGGGAAAAAAACCCACAACTATGACAGAGGTTAAGGTGGAGCTGCAGGAAAAGTGCTTTTAGTTTGGCTAAGGGTTCTTACTTACTAGTAAAGAGTCTGCTGATAGGAATCTCCCAGCATCCTCCAGTTCTCCCCCACCTCTTCTAGATTATGGACTTTATAACTCAACTCTAGATCTTTATTTTCCAGACACTGTTATGACAAAGACAGACAGAGACAGAAAAACAGGTCAGCAGAACAAACAAGTGCCTGGATTGACCGAGAAGAGTGGGGCAATAGCATGATGTCAGATACATTTAAGACATTTTAAATACACAGAGCAATACACAGAGCAGCCTCTATCTGATTGAATATAGCTAAGTGTGGTTAAAAGTGTATGGAATAAAAATAGAACATGGTAGAAATTAAGTACAAAGTGAAATTCATATTTTAACACTAGCTCTTGTACTGATCTAAAAGTGGGTTTGAAACACGAGTGCTTGGTGGAAAAGCGAATCTTAATACAAGACTTTGTCATTGTTCTAAAAAGAGGACTTGCACTATGCATGCACATATTTTTATACAAGACAAATCATAAACAAAGACTTACTATTCTCATTGCAGTAGAGAAGAACAGAACTGGAAAGAACAAGAGAGAATATTAAGTCAGTAACAGAAGCCACACCCTAACGCATAAATCTCTTGGCTTGCTTTAGAGAATGTAACCTGTTAATGCTTTTATATCCATTTTAAACAAATATAGCAACCATATTTCTCAAAGCCATTACTCATTATACACCAATACCATAACATACCATCATCAGGGTCCTGGCAGGTGAAGCTGGTTCCATCCACCTCTGACATCACGTCCTGTAAAATGTTAGTGCTGTGAAGCTCACTGGAGCCTGGAGAGGAAACGAACCTGCTTAATATGATTTCGCACACAAACTCGAGCACCGGGCTCTGTGCTGGTAATGTTCAAGTGTAATGTCATGTCAAACTTCTGAGTTCACCTGATCTGTAAAAGACTGTGAGAAGGTGGTTGAAGGAAGCCAGGCTGGGAGCTGAACACACACAGAAGAAATGGGCCATAAGTCTCAAAAATGAAACAAACACTAGTGTGAAATTCCATTATACAGTTAAATTAGAGTCAGTTTGATTTCATAACTTCACAGTGTCAGTAACATAGTGACGGTGTATGTGTGTGCGCCAACAGTTACCTATTCCCACAGCCTTCATCTCGTTCAGAGTCATCAGAGCTTGTGTTCTGCCCAAAGCACCGCAGCGTCTCAGAGCTTTCAGAACGCTGTTGAAGGTGTGCAGGTTGGGCCGAACCTTCTGTTCACTCATCTGTTTCAGCAGCTCCTTCAGACAAAGAAAGAGACACAGCTGTGAGTCTGAACTTGGTGACCATGCGCAGCAATGTTTCATCTGATGCACACACTGCTGACACAGCTGTGGGCAGCTTGTTTTACAGTATTTCACAGCATTTTAATGATTTCATTTAATAGTTTCACAACTGGTTCAAATAATTAATTCATGTCTTTAAAATTTTATTTTTGTCAGCATCGACTTCTTCATTTGACGACTTGCATCTAAATGATGTTATCATATTTAAATAAAGTGTCCAGCATGTGCAGGGAAATTTACAAGAAAGCTGTCATCAGTACAAATGCTCTATAACATTAAATAAAACAGTGTAAAGGGTCTTACAGTGATGAGGTCCCATCTCTCATTGTAGCTGTCTCTGACATGTGGAGCTGCTGAGATCAGATTGTTGAAGATGTGGACGTCAGCTGTAAACAGAGGGTTGGGTTTTTAAGTCTTCTGCTTCCAAAACACAAAAACTTCAACAAGGAATGAAAAAAGGCTAACAAGCAGTTTAACATCGACAAAAATAAATAAATAAATGTCAACAAAACCAAAGAGTTGGTAGTAGACTTCAGGAAATCTCAATGTGAGCATCTCCCACTGGTCATAAAAGGACAGGAAGTAGAGCAGGTGGGCAACCATGACAATATCTTATTCCTTAACGTGGGACGAGAATGTAACTGCAGTTCTTTGAGAGAATTTTCATTTTAAGGCAATTAAAAAGGTTTTCTGTCTTACAGGAGGGGATGGTGTTATTTTATAGAGCTGGTACTGAAAGCACGCCAACATTTACTATAACAATGTGGTACGGAAACACCACAACAGAAGACAGGAAACGACTGAACAATGTGGTTCGCATCACATCAAAGATTGTAGGCTGTGACATTCCACCTCTGACAGAAATCTAGGCCACCAGGCTCCAGAAAAAGACTCAAAAGATTCTCAAAGATGAATCTCACCCAGCTCACGCTTTTGTTTACTTCCTTCCTTCCTTCAAAAAAAAAAAAGACAGACCTTTTAAAACCAAAACAACCAGGTTCAGAAACAGCATTCGTCCAGAGGCTCTTTGCCTCTTTAACTACTAAATGATTATTATTAGTACTAATTTTACTTGCTAGTTATTTATGGGAATTGATTGTTTTTTTTTTAATGGTATTTTATCAATATCTTTTAAAATATGGGTGTGTGTATGTGTATAGGTGGATGAGCGCGAATATGGACGGTAGCCTCCAGTTAACGTTTTAATTGTTTGACACTTTGTATCGTTGGTCATCTGGGTTGTCCTTTGTATTGTTTCATTTTAAATGTATCCTCACCAAAGTAAATTCCTATCAACTATATTGAAATGGTAATAAACCACTGAATTGAACTGAAACTGAATTGAAAGCCAAATATATGTTAGATGAATGGCTTTTCCTCAGGTTTGAGATAGTCCAATTCAAAGCCAGTGTGTCTAGGATTCGTCAAACTGTAATTATTTTGCACCATCTAGTGCTGCGGCCAACTCTGACAGACAACAATACACAGTGTCAAACCCAACATACTGTATTTTCCATCAAATGCACATTTACTGAGTTTAGGAGATATTAAAAGAACAGGATAAACCAATAGTAAATGCTGTCCAACTGTACTACTACATGCATATTTTTACCACGTGATGCCACTCACAACAAAAAGTCACCTGATGAAATGGTGCTTAACACCATTTTTAATTTTACATTTCAATTAAACAAAACCTCATTAATAAAACTGTCACCGCTTTAAAAATATATTATAAAATAAAATCCATAAATTCAATTAAATTTGACTGACATTCATAATTACACTGTATTGCTTTTTAACACATTGAATAAAAATAATGTACATGTCATGGTCTACTCCAAATTTTGCTTTTAAAGTGATGTCTATATGCTACACCTAATGAGCAACTCACCAGTCAGTCTGTTGTTGAGCATGTCAGTGTACATGCTGAAGGCCTTTGCATAGGCTCCATGCTGGTGAGGGACAGACAAAGGTGTAATTAATCTAGGATGCACAAGGACTGCCACTGTACTGCCACTACAAGCCCTAGACAATATAACAACCACCCAGTGGTTCTGTTGCACCTTCTTCTCCCCCCAGCAGTAATGAGTCCGACCATACCTTCACCATGCCTCTGATCAGAGCAGAGTAACATCGTGTGTCTCTCTCTGGCAGCAGGTTAAAGATTCGCTCTGCGTTGTTGCTTTCGCTCCAGGTGAACTTTAGCAAGTCTGAAGCCCGACGAACCCTTCCTTTCCTCCTCGGTGCCACCTTTACTGAATCCTCCTGAATGCACACATAGACATACAAAAGTTAACATAGACATATACTGTAGCTTTAATAAGATGGCTGACGACTCCAGCTCAGTGAGGTATTGTGTTAATTTACTGCAGAAGAATATTTTGAGTTTATCAGGTCACTCATTATCACCCTGGATAAATCCCAATTCCCTTAAGTACATCCATGTTTCCCCCACTTGATTCTTTTCCTTTTGTCTTGGCGCCGCTCATGTAACATACGAGGAAAAAGAGAAACACGTTTTAAAGACACGAGATATCCTTTCCTCTCATCCTTCATCTGAAGCATCTAGTCACCAACTGATTTTGAATAAAGGGGGTGTCTTGGTTCATGAAGGATGGTTGTATGCATCTTCGCTCATGGGTCCTTTCTGCTCAGAAGAGGAATAATAACTTTGGGACATCCTTCAAGAGGGCAGAGTGGAATGTCTTCCGGGTTGAGTGAGGAGCAAGGAATGATCAAATAAGGCAATTGGGATTGAGCCCCTGAGGTTAGATAAGGTAAGACCCACCATGCCCTCTGTCTGTGGCATCTCCTCCTGGGCAGGGTCTCTGTCACAGTAGAAACAGATCAGGTCCAGCAGATCATGGGTTGTTTCCATAGAAACTGCTGTTCCTGGAGGAATTAAAGCGTAGACAGACAGTTGTTGTAGGAACATTACAGTATGACAAAGAGAGAAATTAGCTTGTGTGTGTGTGTGTGTGTGTTCTCACCAGCTTGCAGTAGCTGATCATACATGTCAACAGCAGCTGTAACTTTCCTCAAGCTGATTCGCTCCTTCAGTGCCTCCTCACTCGTCTCCTCAAGACGAGGTGACACCGTGTCTGGCATCAGACACTACACACACATATTTGAAAGTTTTTGAGTTAAACCAACACACTGGCTCCACATATTCACTCAGAAGAGTACAGTATATGTGTGTGTTTCTTACTGGTATATGAGGCTCAGCAAAATCTTTGGTGAAGAATTTAGGATTGTTGTTGATAAAGTATTTGGCTGCAGCTCTGCCAGACTCCTGAGAGAGAGAGTACATCTTCTGCAGAATGTAACAGACACAGCGATAGATTAATAATAAAATGACATCCACTGACAGGTTGTGTCTACTGTATATTACAGCAGCTCTTTAACTATGATACAACAGTGCTCTTAGCAGGTAACACATAGTGATGTTAACATGAAATAAAAAAACAGATACATATATGAAACACAGCCATAATTAAGATTATAATGACACCTCTGTCTTTTCTGCTATTTAAACATATCTGCTTTCAAGCATATACACACACGATGAAAAAGAACTGATATATTGTATGCATTACTAAACACCTCTTACACATAATACCTCATCTTAATCTCTGGTTTTCATTCAGCACAATGAAAATTAAAAGCAATTCCAAAACAAAATGATTACTTTTTTTAGTAAAACAATAAACAAACCATATAACAGCAAAGTAATGCTAAGACTTTGTTTTGGACATACAAACTCATTAGGGGTCCTGGGAGAGAGATAAGAATCATCCTGGAGCTGGTAGGGACGTGATGTAGGATCCTGGTGGGAGAAGAAGGGATGAGATCAGACAGATATACAAATAAATTGCTTTTTATCCACATTGACAGAACAACTGGAAAGAAACGAGAGAGCTCTCACTCACCCTGCTGACAGTTGAAGCCAGAGCCTCCAGCACTGCCTCTTTGCTCCTGTTTAATAAACAGAAACATTAATTCAGTGTCTTGTGTCAAGACAAAGATAAATTCTCGTTAACTTCATGAACATGAGTAGACTGTTAAAAGAGAAATCTCTGTTAACTAGAGACACTTTAGGACAACATTAGCTTTATCTTTTAGTTTACACGTCTCTTCACCCTGTCCTGCCAGAGCTATCAACTGATCCCTGTGATGTTTTGTGTCATTCAGAGTTATGTTTTCTTCTGGCTGCCAGCAGTGTACTGCACCTGAAAAACATCATGCAAAATTGATATGGACACATACAGTACCATGTTTTCTTCCTGGGGATGACAATGGTCTCTGCAAATGCTGCAACATCAATGAGAAAAGATGTAAGTGACACATTATGATCATTATAAGTGACATCTTGGCCCTAACAGAATGGATCTACTTTGTTGCTGGGAGGTGATTTGGCCAAGTCTAAGGAAATGGGCAGAACTACACCAAATGCAGATTTATCTTTTGCTCTGATAAATTCTGTTATTTAAAGGATAAGCCCGACATTATTCTGGGTTTTTCTTACTGTCAGCAAATCCCATGAATGACCAAAACCAACAATGTGTTAGTGTGTCTCTCTCAGTACTTTCTGACTCTACCCTGTCTTTCGCAGCCAGCCCCAAGATCACTGGTTCCTATTGAAAATGTAGATCTTTAAGACTTGGCCTTTGTGGGTTTTCAAAAGATGATCAAAATGCTAAATAATCTCCTAGAGCAGCTGCCCACTGTAGTTTTTACCAATTGTTACATAAACAGGAGTAAATAGTGCATTTGCTGGCAACTAATTTCAACAGTGGATTAATTGACACTTGGTGCTCTTGTGGGTATTTAAATCACCCGGACAATATATCCTCTATATACGTAGTTACACAAGCAACACTTGTTACTAGGGTCAATTAATTTTGGAATTTGCTGACAATATAAAAATATCACCATGCTTTCACTGCAGTTAAACCCTGATACAAGTTTGGCTTCCAAGATCACCCTTGACACAAGACCTTGTCACACTAGTACGGTTTCAGTCTTAATTAAAAATCTTACTCCAAAATTACCTTTATTAGCTTCAGCAGCTTGTTGATGGAGAGCTGATGTCCAACCAAAATTCCTGAACACAAAAATACGTTAACTAAAGAGAGGTATATTTAGCAAAAGATCAGTCCTGTAGTATGGATTCATAGATTCCCTTGTAGCACATCTATTGTCTAGTTAGATTAGGCATATTATAAGATTAGGTCCAAGTGTTCGAGGGGACAACATCATCATGACTTTGACCTGCACACGATTACACAGTGAGATCGATGATGTCGAATATAGAGAAAGGATCAGTCCAGTACGCACTGATGGCACACAGCATTTGTCCTTTTCAAAACGTCACGTGTTCAACCAACTAATAAAGACAGATAGCCTAAAATCTTTCAGGTAAAGTAAACACTACATATTGTACCAAGACACCTGCTGACCATCAAACATTTAACCAGCATTTGTTCCAGTGATGTAAGTTAGCGAGATAAAGAAATGACCTCCTGTCAAATGATGCTAGCTGCAGCTTTCATATTGATGTAACAACAAATATTAAAAGATAACAAAGTCGACAGAATAATATTCTGGCTTAAAACGCTGCTGTAACACTTTACAGACCTGTGACCCCAGAACTGCTCGAAGTTATTACACAAAAATCGACAGCTTCTCTGGACGTAACGTCCTACATGCCTTCCAGGCGCCGCCATATTGGCTCAAACTGAGGGATTCTGGGAAGATGAAACCATGTAGGCTAGGATGGGGGGGAATTAAAAATAATTGTCTTTTGAAGACACACTACGATTTCCACGCGCTTTGCATTAAGCCTCCAATAATTTTGATTATATACATATTTTAAAAGTTAATTATTGAACAAGTTTATAGAAAAGCCTACTCGTATATTTGTGTCTCCCCTCTAATCTATTTTCTGTGATGGTCCCACGTGTGTCACTGGAGTAATGTGTCGCATGTGGTTTAACAGTGCGCCATGAATTTATGTCAGTAAGTTAAGATAATTCTTCAAAATGTTTTTTGGAAAAGAAGTGCCATGGCGGCGTTTGGAGGGCATGTCGTTTGGCATGTACTCTTCGGAAGAGATAAGGTAAGAGAAGGCTTATTAGCTTTTGGCTTCATGCTAAACACGAATTCAAAACATGACTGCTCATAGCATCATGCTATACCACTGTGTCCTAATAGTCTTTTGGCAAATTACACACGTGTCTTAACCAGAATTTGACATGTCGATGTTTCTATTATAATGTTTCACCTTTGTTTATTTTGCAAAAAATACTGATTCGCAACAGCAACAGTGAATGTCAATCAAGTAAAATGCACAACTTTGTCATGTTCATACATTTTGTTTGTTGTTGTTTTCTTATCCTACTTTAAAATCCAGGCATGTTATAACATGCTGGACACTAATAGGGCACTATCCTACCATAGGAATAGAAATCATTTCAATCTACGTTTATTCTCCATGAGTGTCTCATAAGAACTGGGGTTCACTTGTCTGAGGATGATGGTGAACGCTCATCCTTGGTTCAGCCCTGGACTAACTCTCTAGGAACCCCTCCAGATTACACTGAAAAGAATAATGAATGTACAGATATGAAAAAGAAACCAGCACAGTGATAAAATGACCAAAAAGCTGTTAAGGATGCATAGGAATAGTGGGAAGTAGGTAATATAGTAATACATTGTTCTCATTTCCTGTCCAGGAAGCTGAGTGTGAAGGCGATCACTAACTTCAGATTCCTCGATGGTGTTGGGAATGTGGCCCCGAACAGCCTGTACGACCTGGCCCTGGGACCAGCAGACAACAAAGAGGCACATCTCCCCTAATCATATTACATAGCCATAGTTGTGTGTTGTACAGTTCAGTAATGATCTGTTTGTAACATCCTGTACATCAGCGTGTTGCTGACTTGTGGTCGTACTGCTGTGGTTCCCTCTTCTCTGTGTCTAAGGTTTAAGAGGATTAGATTTCAGCAGGTACCCAACATTACTTGCATGTTTTCCATCTTCCATAATCATCTGTTATTGTTTTCTGCAGGTTTGTTCAACTTGCTGTCAGGACTTCAACAACTGTCCAGGCCACCTGGGACATGTAGAGCTACCTCTGCCTGTATACAACCCGCTGTTCTTTGATGTAAGTATGTCCACAAATGCAGTATATGTTTGAATGTTACTGGGTTTAGCACTGATAATGATGGACCAGCCTGAGGAGTTAAGGTCTGATAAATCAGTACTGACTTTTGTTGACTTTTTCAAAATTTGTTCCAATCTACCAGATGTTAGGATTTTAAGCTGTTATTTGTTCTCCGTTTATACCACTTCGCTTCATCAGAAACTCTACCTACTGATTCGGGGTTCGTGTCTGGTGTGTCACATGTTAACCTGTCCCCGAGCTGCCATCCACCTGCTGCTCAACCAGCTCACGTTAGTGGACCTCGGAGCCATGCAGGAGGTCTACCAAGCAGAGCAAGTTCTCAATCATGTGGGTTTGCATGTGCTGTGGAAGCTGCATTTGGCAGGACTGTCCAGAATAAAGCACAATTTATCTAAAAGTAAAACAGCTAGTATCATTACAATACCAACTGATTAATGCAGAGGAGAGAATTGTGCTGTTTATTAATGATCATGGATCAACAGTGTTCTGTTCATACCTTATTTATGAATTTTTGTGTGTTAGTACCTGGAGGAGAATCCCACAGCCACTGGAGATGAGATTCAGCAGGTGCTTAAGGAGTTTATAAACACGGTAATTGGAGTGAACACTGAAGGTTCAGAGAACATCAAACCAGTGAGTACGCGCACACACACACACACACAGGCACTCAAAAATAAATACACAAACACAACCTAATGCATTTGTTTGTGTTTTTCAGATTAAACACCTGGTTGAAAAGAAAACCAGCCTGATAAATGACTTCTGGAAGATCCATATTAAATCTAGGAAATGTCCTTTCTGCAGGTAACTTGACAGAATTAGGGAGCAATGAATGAAACTACAGTCTCCCACCAGCCACCATAAATAATTGGTGTTTATGACCACAGTGAAGTATTGTTCCTCTTTGCTCGAATGTTGATAAAATTTAAATTTCTGATTGTTCATTCATTTTGTGTGTGTGTGTGTGTGTGTGTGTGTGTGTGTGTGTGTGTGTGTGTGTGTAGGAGTGGTAGATTCACAGTGCGTCGTGAACACAACAGTAAGCTGATTGTCACAGCGCCGGCAGGGGTAAAGACCAGTACTGGTGATACTGATGGTGAGTAGCATGAATACATATGTAGCTTATGTGCTGTTTATTGTTGGGCCAGCAGTTCCACAGAGTGTGAGCAAACGTGGTTAAAGGATAAGGCCGGTCATTTTCTATAGTAATAGTATTTTCAGCATTCTCCATACAGAGACTAACACCAGCAATGAGTTGCTTCTATTCGCAGTTAATGTCTGTCAGTCTCAGTCCTGGATTAGCTTGTTCTTCTGTTTGACAGATGTCTGTTGTTGTTCAAGAACTATTAAAAACACAACAGTGAAACACACCGTTGCACTGGGTGACACGTGTTTGCATTATGAATCAACAGACCCAACTATGTTGCTTCAAAGGCTCTGAGCAGCCATAATTCCTGAAGTTGGCACCATATAGTGTCAACTGCATGTGCATGAGATCGTCCATGAGCTCTCTGCTTTGTTTACCTTCCAATAAATAAATATGTCACCCAGTGCACACGATGTGTTTCACTAATGTGTTTTTAATCATTTTTGTTCAATAATGTCTGGCACAGATGAACAAGCAAATCCAGGACTGACAGACTGATGGATATTAACCATGAGTAGAGGCAATTCATTGTTGGTTTTAGTCTCGTTGTGGGGACTGTTGAAAATACTGTTTATATAAAAAATGACCAGCCTTATCCTTTAATGTCTGAGTGGTGTGTGAAGCGGAGCCTGTTTTTGTGGAAGTGCTGTGTAGCTGTACAACAACATGGGCAAAGCCTGCCTCTGCATGTGTACATACAGTAAATAGTAGGGCTGCACAATTGTATCATTTTGTGAGTGTGATTTAGATCCCTGTTCAATCTCTGTCTCAGGTGACAATGATTCTGCCGTGTTTGCATTAGCAGGGAGATGCCTTGCATCAAACCATGCTCTCCCCTTTCCTCACTAAGCTGCTCTAACCAGTAGCAGGAATGCGTTACATCACGTAACGAGCTGCAGACAGGAAGAGAAGACTGATTCAAAAACAAAGCCAACATGTTTGACATTATGAAAGATATTCTGTGCCATCCTGCAATTATATTTCCAACATTGCCTGCCCTGTACACCTAGCACCATACAGCAGTTGAGGCAAAAATAAATCACTTTGCAGTGATTAGTTGTGGTTACTGGATAATGCAGCTTAGGGACCACTTAGTTTTATGCAAGGAATCTCACTGCTAAGGCAAACACAGTAGAATCATTGTCATGTGAGACAGAGACTGAACAGGGATCTAAATCACACTCACAAAACGATTTAATTGTGCAGCCCTAGTAAATAGAACTTGCCTGGTTTCTGTCTCCCAGCACTAGATCTGACGGATGGTAAGAGAGTCTACCTGACTGCTAGTACTGCTAGAGAACACACCATCCAACTGTGGGAGAAAGAAGGTAGGCCAACACAACAGCTGTCCTGCAAATGAGCCACTCTGTGTGTGTGACCTGGATGCATCCTGAGTGCCAGATGATGACATATTTAGACATTTAAAGGTGCATTTGGAATGAAGTGCAGTCTTAGAGGGTTCACACGGTTTAAGTAATATCTAACAAGAAGCATATGAGGAGACTGTAACAAAGATGAATTATATGTTGTAAATTTATAAGGATGCAATCATTAAGAGTTTGGTCAGACTCATTTTTGTAATAGATGTCAGCTTTGCTGTTGCTTTTGTGTTTTTCATACAGCTTATGTTTGACTCGTGCCTTGTTTTCACTGGTTCAGTATGAGTTTAACTGCTGTTTCTCAAAGGCATTTTGTAGAATTTCCCCACTGTGGGATCAATAAAGTACCTACCTACCTAGAAATGTCCTTTTTTGGGTAGGGGAATGGTAGAGCAGTGAAAGCAAAGCTAAAACATAATCCATTTTGACAATGAGAAGGAATAGTTTTCAAAATAGAACTTTCTTTCCTCTTGTCATTGCAGGTTTCTTTCTGAAGTGTCTGTTCTCTGGGCTGGAGGAGGGACAGAAAGGTTTCTGGCCTGACTTGTTCTTCTTAGACCTGCTCGTGGTCCCACCTTGCAGGTGCAGTATTTAATGTACAAGCCTTACAATACTTACAGCTTCTAGAGTATTAGAATTTCTTTGGAGCTAGATTTTCTTTGTCATCAGAAGCAAAACACGTGTGAACAGTAGGAACAGAGTGAGACTGGCTGGTGGAGACATACGACCGCAAAGCTGTAATTCTAGTTTGCTATTATGTAAGAAGTATTTTTAATTTCTGTGATAAAAGTGATATACTGCTCTTCTGATGTGTGAATATGTCGCCTTCCACCACCTCATCCTCTCCCGTTCAGGTATCGCCCCATCAATCGACTGGGTGACCAGATGTTTACCAACAGTCAGACAGTCAACATGCAGGCTGTCATGAAGGACTGTGTAATCATAAGGAAACTTCTGGCTCTCATTGCAGGAGAGAAAGATACTCAGGAAGAAGAGGTAAGGCAGTGTGTAGATGTGATAAACTGTAACTGACATTGATGTATAAAGAGGCATTTAAAGCATCTTAGGCTGGGTCCACATTAGAAAATTTTAAAATCCTAACTGATTTTAAAACACGATAGACCGAAAACATAATGACAGCTTTAATGTATTTTTTCACATTTTAATCTTTAAGAACACACACACACTAGACGATTCAGTCCAGAGGCTGGACCACACACTTGCTGTTTTTACTGAATGACTTCAGAGACGCCAGTTCTGGGGACCAGGGATCTCGCAACAACTCACGTGATCAAACATGAGTCAGGTAGACATGACTTCAGAACAAAACAAACTCTGAGGTGGACATTGGTCGTCAAGCAGTAGTGCTCGTGTGTGCTAAGTTTTGCGCAGAGAACAAAAGAAGGGGAAGAAAATTGTGAATGAAGTCTTGGCTGAGAAGATGAAATCAACACGCCTTACTGCAGTGCAGGCAGGAAACGAGGAGGCTAGTATAAGCTAATGCTACAAGTGGTTGTGATGCTTTCTGGCTGGTTCGCTGTCATTGGCTGTTGATTCTGTCAGAGGCATAATGATTAGGTCCTTCAGCACCTCACACTACAGGAACATTTGGCCCGAGAATCGCCTCCGAGGGGCCTCGCCTCAAGGATCACCTCCACGGTTGTTGGGAAGGGCAAATGGGTACTAATTATCCCGTAGTGTGAGGCCAGCTTTAGTTTTGTGGTCCAGTCGGCCACACCTTAGCCTGTCCTGTGTCATGTGTTTCAGGCTCCTGAACAGACCGACCAGTCATTTCTCTCTGGGATCCCTGGACAGACTTTAACAGATAAACTCTACAACATCTGGATCCGACTACAGTCCCACGTCAACATTGTTTTTGACAGTGACATGGACAAACTGATGACTGAAAAGTACCCTGGAATTAGACAGGTAAGATGGCATCTGTGAGGGGCTGAGAATCAATGATGAGGACAGGCAGCATGCCAGAGGAGTGACTTGTTTAATAAACCACATGAATCCTGCTCTGACTGGTTTGACAGCGGTCGTATGGTCAGAGATCAGATATGAAAAGGATCTGGGCTCATGAATGGAAGTGGCTCAGTTCTGATCTGAAAAATTCCAAATAGGTTTGTTCACACATCTGTGAAAAGATCAGATCTGAGTCACTTGGAGGGGAAAAAAATCGGATTTGGGCCATTTCAGCAGTTAATGTGAATGCAGCTAGTGTTTTCCAGCTGCTTCTTAAACAAATTAGCACACACAGTGTAACAAATCATGTATAGTGTATGCACAGTCTATGACCTGGTGCAGTGTGGTGATCAGCATTTCTCTAAGTAGTAAAGGTCACTCTTGTCTCTGATGAAGATATTGCCGTGCTCTCCTCTCTCCCATTAGATCCTGGAGAAGAAGGACGGATTGTTCCGGAAACACATGATGGGCAAACGAGTGGACTATGCAGCACGATCTGTCATTTGTCCAGACATGTACATAGGAACCAACGAGATAGGAATACCTATGGTACATCTCTATTTCTCTCTGGTCACTTTTTTACTGTAGAGAGACGGTGGCCAACATTTGTGTGGAAGGCAGATTGCTGTCTCTTAAAGAAATGTAATTGGATAACTCTCTGTGTGCTGAGTTTGATCCAAAATGAAGCCACTCACTGTCACTTCTGTATTTGTGCGCAGGTGTTTGCCACCAAGCTGACGTACCCTCAACCTGTCACTCCATGGAACGTGAAGGAGCTTCGCCAGGCCGTCCTTAACGGGCCCAGCGTCCACCCTGGTGCTTCCATGGTGATAAACGAGGATGGCAGGAGAACCATCCTATCAGCTACTAGCTTTGCACAGAGAGAAGCGGTTGCTAAGCAGCTGCTGACACCCTGTCCTGGTCCACATAAGATGCCAATGAAGATAGTGAGTTAAATATTCTGGTCCTAAGTGTAGCCATATAATAGTCATAAACCCTAGTACGCCTTGCAGCGTACCCTTTTACTGTTAGTGGTATAACTCTTCACTTGTTTTTGTGTCTCCAGGTGAATCGTCATATAAAAAATGGAGATGTTTTGTTACTCAACAGACAACCAACTCTACACAGACCCTCCATACAGGCCCACTGTGCCCGCATCCTACCAGGAGAGAAGGTAAGATTCAATGGGTCCAGTTTCATTTGTCTTAATGTCACTTATTATAAAGGCAGAGTGGAATTACATTGTTTCATCTGAAAAAACATGTGTTCTGCACTTGATCTGCTGCAGTACTGTATTACTTGGATATATGATATCCAACACACTGTGCTGTATCTTAATGATTGATCCAGGTACTAAGGCTCCATTATGCCAACTGCAAGGCGTACAATGCTGACTTTGATGGAGATGAAATGAATGCTCACTTCCCTCAGAGCGAGCTGGCCAGAGCAGAGGCCTATACGTTAGTCAGCACGGACCAGCAGTACCTTGTCCCCAAGGTGGGTGTACATATATATATCTGAAGCAGTACCTTGTCCCCAAGGTGGGTGTGTGTATATAAATATATATCTGGGTAGCAGATTGTCATCGAGTAGAACAGCCCTAAACTCTTTGGCAGCAATAGCTGCAAACACCTGGTGGTGTTTCTAAAGTTTTAGATTTATTTTCACTCTTAACAAAGTGAATACAGTGTTATTGCCTGTGCTGTTTTTACCTTAGGATTCAAACAGGTCTGTTATTGTGTGTGTAACTATTATCTTAGTGTACAAGGATTATTATGATATGTTTGAAAGCAGGACTACATAATTATAACTGTGCTGAGTAAAGTGCATCTGGACAGCTGCCTACTTTATGGCACATTAATTTACATTAGGTTTCCTGTAAGTAGTAGTGGGTGACAGCTGATATAACATAGTGCTTATTTATTGATGGAACTAAAATGGAGCTTTTGTTCTTTTAACCTGGATTATGATGTTTCATTGTAGAGTATCACAGTGACCACCAAACACGGTAATTTCAAATGTAGATGCAAAAGTACATGTTATTATTTCTACTTACTCTTTGTCTTTTGACCTTGTTCTTGTTTGCCTGTTTTACTTGCCATCATTTCCATGATATTTATTTTAATCTGTGTTATTTCTACTTTTTTTTTTATCTGTTTTACTGACAGATGAGTCTACTTTGGTGTTCACAAATCAAATTTCCTGTGCACCCCATTAAAGAATGAACAGAATTGATCTGTATTAGGTTGATCTAGTGCTTGAAATAGACTCTAGAGTTTCACCTGATAAGACAAATTAACCAAGCAGTGCTTGCTATTTAAATGGCTTGACATACTTTGGAGTTCATCTGTTGATGGTCTGTGCTTTATAGCAGAGTATATTTAGCAAAAAGTGACAGACATAAAGAAGTAACAGTACAGTAAGAGAACTAAAAATAAAAGTGCTGGTTCTCTGTATTGATGAATATGAGGCCTGTTGCATCACTGGGCAGCCTTTTTGAAATTTCATACATATACTTGCATACACAAACAGGCCTGCACTTAAGCTTTTGGCTCTGTGTATCTTCAGGATGGTAAACCTTTAGCGGGTCTGATCCAGGACCACATGGTGTCAGGAACGAGGATGACGATACGAGGATGTTTCTTCACCAGAGACCAGTATACAGAGTTGGTGTACAGAGGACTGACAGACAAACCAGGTAGAGTCAAGCTGCTGCCGCCAGCCATACTCAAACCACGGCTGCTATGGACAGGAAAACAGGTAATCAGGCTTATCACATTGTAGTGTTTCAGTAGAGTCACTCTTTGGGTTTTGAATGTGCTGAAAGAAACAGTGAAATCGGTTCAGATGTGGAAATCACAGATTAACTGTGTTCAGGTTTTGTCCTGTACTCCAACAAACATGACTGCCCATCATGTACTTACTGAATGTAAGTACATGTCGGGCAGTCATAACTCTAACCCTCTGCAGTTGTTTCACTGTCGTGTCATTAATTTGCTGTTTGTTGTAGGTGGTTTCTACGCTTCTGCTAAATGTGATCCCACACAACGCTGTGCCTCTCAATCTGGTGGGCAAATCAAAAATTCCCAGCAAAGCATGGATCCAAGTCCCGCCACGTGCAGCTCCGGGATACAGACCTGACAGCATGTGTGACTCACAGGTGCACACACCACACACCACACACCACACACCACACATACATACAGTTTATGTTTTGTAGTCCATGGGGACATAACATTGACTTACATGCATTTCCTGTAGACTAACCCTAACCTTAACCAGAACCACTACTTGCCTTACCCTAACCCTAAGCCTGACCCTGACCCTAACCTCATCCTAACCCTAAACCATGATGCCACCCTAAAATTCAATTGCTTCCCCATGGGGACCTCAATTTAGGTCCCCACCGTGAAATGGGTCCTCATGAGTTGGTATGGAGTCAGGAAGATATCCCCACGTAGCAGGAAAAACACGTACACACACACACACAGACACACACACACACAGACAAACATTTCACTTTCCAGCCCAAATCAACATGTTTCAACACCAACTTGATACAGATCTGGGCGTTGTTTTGCCTTTGTATGGAAAAGTGAAACTTGTCTTCAGAAGTCTTCTTACAATAAGTCATGTAATGTTAGAAACACATATGAATAGACAAACTAGGTAAAGCCAGGTGTGGAACTAGCTGTATTTTGGGCAGAGTCCAAAGTCAGTGTTTGACATTTTAATGTTTTGTTTTGCAGGTGGTGATTCGTCAGGGGGAGCTGTTGGTGGGGGTTTTGGACAAAGCTCACTATGGCTCTTCAGCCTACGGCCTGGTCCACTGCTGCTATGAGCTGTATGGAGGAGAGACTAGTGGCAAACTGCTCAGCTCTCTGGCCCGACTTTTCACTGCTTACCTGCAGCTCTACAGAGGCTTTACCCTGAGTAAGATCCAGTAAATTAAACACACACGCCAAGCCATTAGTTTCCTTCTCGACATATACATACTGTACATACATACAGTGGTTTCAGCAAGTATTCAGACCCCTTCATGTTTTGCACACTTATTTGTATTTGATTTTAATTGTATTGCAGTCTTTGCTCATCAGTCTTCAATCAGTAAACAATAATAGCAAAGTCAATTTTTAGAAATGTTTGTAAAGGCACTGAAAATCAAACACTGAAAAGTATGCAGACCCTTTGCTGTGACTCTCCAGACTGTGGTCAGGTGCATCCTGTTACCTTTAGTTCACACTGAGATGTATAGAACTTGACTAGGGTCCACCTGTGTCTAATTGAACTGACTGAACATAGTTGAGAGAGGTAAACACCTGTGTATATAAGGTCCCGCAGGTCAGGGTAAAAACCAAGCCACGAAGTCCAAGGAACTCTGGGTACATCCCAAGCTTTCAGGAACGGTGTCAGGCAGTGAAGCAAATTTGGCAGAGTGGCCAAATCATGTTGCCACAACATGACGCACATTGTCCCAAAAAGCATTTTTCCACTGGAGAATCATTGGAGAATGAGCGACTAGGAAACAGTGAATACATTTTTTTGAGCCTCATAAACCCACAAAATGATACTCTCCATTATCAGAATTTGATCCATTGATCCCAGTATCATTTGGAAAGTCTAGTTGAGCCCGAGGATACTTTTATTTTATCCCATTCATGTGTTTAATAGCCAATTGGAAATCAGGTGGCTTGGCTGTTAATCCGCTGAACTAGAGAAAGAGCTACAATACTGTAAAGTGCCCTTCTTTCTTTGTATTGGATTGAATCATTTGACCGCTTGGAATCAAATTGTAAGTTCTCCAAAAAGGCTGGTTCTTAAGTGGACCTTGAAGAAGATCAGCTTCATAGTGCATGTGACAATAACGGCGGCCAAAGGGGTGTCTGCAGAGTGAAGGGTTTGAATACTTTAGTAAATGAGAAATTTCACTTTTTGATTTTTATTACATTTGCAAAAATTCCTAAAAACCTGTTTTCACTTTGTCATTATGGTTTATTGAGTGTAGGTCGATGGGTAAAAGTTGCACGTTGTTTTGTTTCAAATCAGAATTTACAACAATAAAGTGTGCAGAAAGTGAAGGGGTTAGAATACTGTTGGAAGCAAGAAGCAGGGATCATGGTGAACACCTGGCACTGCTCATCACCTGCCTAACACCATCCAGTCCATCCATCACTCAGCTTACATTTGTCACTTGTGTGTATGTCTTTGTATGTAGGCGTGGAGGACATCCTGGTGAAATCGGGCGCCAATAAGCAGAGGAAAAAAATTATTAAGACGTCTCTGAAGATTGGCACCAAAGTGAGTCTCAGCATCAGCTTGTTTTGCTCAAATCCCCAGTCTTATGGTGTTGTCACTGCTGAATGTAATATGGTATACTCTGAACATTGTGAAGGTACATTAGTAGAGCACTTTCATAAATGCCCAGTGTTTGGGTCAGTCAAACAGAAAAATATATCACTAGTCCAATGTAAATGAGGCCTAGAAAGATTGCAGCTTTGTCAAATTCAGTGCTTCCTCCTCAGTGGATGCCACTGGCCAAAATGGCTGCCACAGTGAGGGTGTAGTTCATGGGCCCCGTGGTGCTCCAACATGGCTGCTGGGGATAAATATGTACTACACACAAATGAATTGGTTCAGCCAGAGGTTAATATGATGTTGCCATGACTGATACACAAATGTTTGGTGTCCTAACTTCTTTAGCTGCATCCTGCCTTTCACGTGCAGTAACCTTTTTGTTTTCTTATTACGTTGTTTGTTTTTCTTTCTTATTCTAAACCTCGTACTGTTTTTCTATGGCATGTGCTCATATGAATCAGCCACATGCTCTTAACTGGACAAGTGTGTGTTCACCTAATGAACATTGACTCATGAGGAGATGTGCACCTAAAATTGCCAGTTACGGCTGCCTGTTCCACTGTCTGTGGGCTAGTTTCATTCATAAAAATGTCATATAAGAGTAAAAAGCAGGGTCTTTTACTGTGGGCCCTCAGGCCCTGTTTTTAGTAAATCAGTGCCATGCTGTGACAGATATAAAGAGGAAGTGCTCTGACATGAAGTTAGATGAAGAGGGACTCTGTATCTGGAAAGAATATGAACAGAGGATGACGGTATACACCAGGCTGATGCAGCCGTTGAAGTGAGAGACTTGAAACTGTACTGAACTGAAGAGGTTCCTGTGCCAAAATGTGACAATGAAAATCATAAAATCAAAAATTCTCATTAAATTGGGAGGCTCTGAGAAAATATGATGAACAGAATATAGATTGTGAGAGTTTAGTTTTGGTCATATATTTTATTTAAGGTTAATATATTTAAACTCAAATTAATTCAGATGACAAGAGCATTAATGTACAGAGTTCTTGCTTTGGCCCATTGTCTTCTTTAAAACTACCACTACAGGGCAGTAAAGTCTAACTTTTTCAAATTCTGCGTATAGTGGCTTTCAACCTAAGTGCTTTCTTATTGTTTTGTCCCTTCAATCAGGCCCTTCATGCAGCGTTCAACCTGCCCTCCAGCGTAGATCAAGCTGAGGCTCGGAGTCGCTGGCAGGACGCTCACCTCAACCCAGACCAGAGAGACTTCACCATGGCTGACCACAAGTTCAAAGAAGTGGCCAATCAAGTGAACAATGATATCAACAAGGTAGACTATCACAACCTCTACTACTATGAGTACCAACAGTCAGCCCAGTGAGCAATGACTGGTACCTTACCTCCTACTAGTCCTGCTGGCACACACACAACTTTCTCAGGGAGCCACGGTTCTGAGGAGCTCAGGAACCATGTTTCATTTAGTTTCCTCCCTCTTGGTTCTAGGTGTCAACATGTCCCTTCTCCGTGTGCAGTACTTTCTAAAGGTCGTGTTATGTTAAATTTATGGATCAGTAGTCAGAGTGAAATCCAAAAAATAACATGTTAAAATGAAAAATACTCATTTCCAGCATGTTCCCAAAAGGTTCAGCAATTCACAGCAGTGTTTCCGTTTGTAACATTTCTCAGTGGCGCCCCGCTACAGCAAAAAATCAATTCAGGCAAATCAGTCATCTAACCAAGTGACTCACCTGGGAAAAATGTTAAACAACATGACCAGCCACATACGCAGATGCAGTTAAGGCCAAGTCAGATGTAGTGCATTTTTAGACACATTTTTCGCACAACAAGTCGATTGTCGTTCTATCAAATGTGCATCCAACACATGTGGGCAACTGTTGTTGCCACATTTCTGCTGTCAGTCGGCCTGGTGAAGACCGTTTGTCGTGATGACCGACAGCTCCAGGCTGTGGTTACGTCGTTGAGTGCTGCAGTGGACTGGCAAACTGTTGAGGACTTAATTTAGCCATAGCTTAAAAAAAAACAGATTATAACTGTCACTGAAAAATAACTAGCCTATATTAATCCAGATAATTATGACCCGTTCACCTCCATGGAGAGAGAATATGGCTTATGGATGGAAGAGAGCTCAGAGAGGGACAGGTAAAGAGTGAGGAGGGGCGTGTTGCTCTCCCACCAAACCGCTTGATTGTTCAGTCCTTCAGATGTGGTGGAAGTGCAAGCAGAAGGCCGCAGTCAGGTCCCAGACAAGTTCCTGAGTTCAGTTGCTGTTCCTTGAACCTCATGGTTGAAAAAGGCAAGTAGCTTGTCAGTTGCTTCCATGTACTTTAACATCCTGTTGACTCCTGTAGTGACATCTTTCCTAGGTGAACACCCCCCCACCCCCAAACACACATGCGCAGCACACACACACTTGCCCAGCTCCCTACAGTACTCACTGTGCAATAGTGATGAAATGCCATCCTGTGTGTTGGCAGGTGTGTATGCCAGCTGGACTCCACACCTCTTTCCCAGACAACAATCTCCAGCTGATGGTCCAATCAGGAGCCAAGGGGTCGACTGTTAACACCATGCAGGTACCTCGCCACCACCGCTCCATCCACATGTAATGTCAATAAAACCTAATGAACCTTAGGCTGTTAATTTACATATACCCTGACCTGTGTGTGTTTCAGATTTCCTGTCTACTAGGTCAGATTGAGTTGGAGGGCCGCAGGCCTCCTCTGATGCCTTCTGGAAAATTTTTGCCATGCTTCCAGCCATATGACCCTTCACCTGGCGCTGGGGGCTTTGTCTCTGGAAGGTTCCTCACAGGCATCAAAGCACAGGTATGTGTGGAGCACTGTGTGTTGGTGTTGTATAGAGAGCTCGTTGTAAAATTTGCTTTTACACTACACTCAAAGAAAGAAAGCACTCTGTAGCTCTTGAGCCCTTTCAACGAGTATCACTGCTAGGAATGTAACATTAGCCCCTACAAACATTTATGAAAACTCTTTAATGATGCATCTTTTTTGTTGTCTGTGTGGTCTGGTTGTGATCAGGAGTTCTTCTTCCACTGCATGGCTGGCAGAGAGGGACTGGTCGACACAGCTGTGAAAACATCTAGATCAGGATACCTGCAGAGGTAATGCGAACTTTACTGCTTAGGGTTAGAGGCTGGAGTCATCTCAGTGTGGTCACATGAACAGGCTAAGGCACTAAATTTACATTTGATTGATTTTTATTTATTTATTTATTTTTTCTGTCTCTCAGCAGCTCTGAAACAAAAACACAGCTTAAAAAAAGTGAAGCACGCATTATTTGATTTCACTGCACACATCTGTGTTGACCCAGTATATGTAATTTACATATAAAACATTTTCAGTTACTATAGTTTTTATCTGGTCCTCCACATGGGGGGAAGTAAAACCGGGAGGGGAAATGGAAATGTGCAGTTTGCGTGACAGGTACAAGTGTTATGGTGGACAAAGGAAGAACCATGGTATTCACATCACAGGTGTTTTATTGACATGAAATGTTGGATGTCGGTGAAAGTTTACAACCCCCCCCCAAACTTAAGTTTTTCCTCATTTTTTGTTTCCACACTCACATCTTTCCATCTACAGATGCATCATAAAGCATCTGGAGGGTTTGGTAGTACAGTATGATATGACAGTGAGGGACAGCGATGGATCAGTGGTCCAGTTCCTGTATGGTGAGGATGGGCTGGACATCCCAAAGACTCAGTTCCTTCAGCCACGACAGTTCCCATTCATAGAGGACAACTATGAGGTGACACTAAGTAAAATACACACTGTGATGTTGTGAACATGTCATAAATAATTACATCTACGGTATCAGTCAAAGGATTGGACCCACCTTCTCATGCAGTGGCGTAATGTTATTTTCTCCATTGTAGCTGAATACTGAAGATATCAGAACTATGAATTACCTATATAGGAATCTGTAGTAATCCACAAAGTGTAAACAAAGCAAAATATGTTTCAGACATCTGATTCATCAGCCACTGTTTGCCTTAATGACAGCTTTATACACTATTGGTATTATTGTAACGGCTTCATGAAGTCTTCACCTGGAAATAATGTCATCTGGTGGAGACCATCAGTTGTGCTGTGCTGAGGGATAATGTTGATATAAAGTGAACATCCCTGTTTGGCTACTGTAGTAGTCTACATTATGACAAGAACTTCTCAGCTACGTTAAGAGAAGCAACAGTCCGTTGATAATTAAGACCTGAAGGTCAGTCAGTCCAAGAACTTTGAAAGTTTGTTCAACTGCAGTTGCAAAAACCATTGAATGCTCTGAAACTGCCTCAGGAATGGAAGACCAAGGTCTGTTTCAGACATGTACTGCTCACGTTAGGGAGAAGAAATGATATGATAGAACTTTAGGGGTCTGTGATATCATATTAGATTGTGCAATTCTTTCAAAACTACTTACTATATGTTGATCATGCAGCGTACGCCAGACACAGTGGCCTAATTGAGCAAAGATAGGCACAGTCCTGCACAGAAAGCCTATAGTATCCAGTAAGTACAGTTGTAGAACTTAAAAATGTTAAATTTTTGAGTAAGAAGTGACTTTTGCACAAAAAGAACGAATCAATAAATCTCTACTTGTGTAGTTTAATGTGTCACCTTTTGTGGTACGATGCAGCCAGAGTCGATGAAACCGCTCGCCTCAGGTTCACTGGCAGACTATATTCAGTCTTTAAACAATGTGGCCCTCTCCAGTGTTTGAATGTAACATGAACTATTACACAGCAAAATCGGCTAAGTTGACCAGTCAACAAGAATCCATTTTTTTCCCCTTGCTGTTAGGTCATCAAGAGGTCCCAGGGCCTGGATGAGGTTTTAGAACGTTTGGACCTTCAGAGTGCCAGTCAGCACTATGCAGCCATCCAGCGCTGGAAAGCAAAGAGAGAGACAGCATGTCCACGGAGAGGTACAAGAGAGTATGCATATGGGCAATAAAATGGTCTTGCGCTCAAACCTCCGTGACATTGTCATTGGCTTGATCAACATTTACTTTTAATAGCTTTCTCTTAGTTTTGCTTCTAAACTAGAAGTACATATGTTTGTGTATATCTGTTTTAATGTGTGTTAGGTGCGTTCCTGTTATTTTCCCAGAAGAAGTTAGCCAAACTAAAACGAACTGAACATGGAACAGAGCCAGCTGTGTACAACAGAGAGGTATTTATTTCTTTTACTTACTGTCACCCTCTTATTCAAACCTCAGTGCATGCATTATGAACAGGAGCACTGATGTCTAACCTAGTCCGACCACATTTGAACTCTTCTCCCCGCACAGCTCATACAGCAGTGGCGCTCTCTGGATGAAGTAAGCAGATCAAAATACAGGAGGAAGTCCTCCCGCTGTCCTGAACCATCTCTGGGTATATTTAGGCCAGATGTCTGCTTCGGATCTATTTCTGAAAACTTTCATGACATCACAGAGAAATACCTGCAGAGCAGAGGCCAGAGTCAGGACAGCTTGGATACACACAGGTACTGAACGCCAGAACTTCTCACGGGTGGGT